TATCTGCCTGATTCTTCTTGTCCTGCAGGTCTCAGCTCGGGCCTCTTCCCCTGCAGGCTTCCTGCCCTCCCTCCTTGCGGGCGGATGCGCCTCCCAGGGCCTCCTGGAGCCCACCGCGGTCACGCTCCTGTAGAACGTACTCAGCACATGCGCACTGCGGGTCCGTCTCCCAGCAGACGCTGCGCGGCGGAGGGCTGCGGGGTCTCATCCCTGCAGCATCCCCGAGTCTGCGGCACACAACGGTCCACGACAGATATTTTGAGTTGCACATGTGCAACGGTGAGCGTGAGGTAGGGAAGCAAAATAAACCAAACGCTACAGAAAACAAACAGACAAGGAAACCCTCACACTATCGTTCATTTTTCCTGGAACCTGAGTTTGAAAGATCTTGGTTGGGCGGCAGCCTGAAGGCGTTGTTTTGATCAGGGGTAAAGGTACATTTGTTACAAACTGGCTTTAGGAGGGCGGGAAGGGGAAATCACAAAGTGCAGGAGACGGGCAGCAGCAGACGGAGCGTTCCGTGGGGCGAGGAGGGCGTGGACCAGAACCAGGGCCAGGGCGCAGCCTGCACGCGGAGCAGCGTGTCCTGGGCAGAGGAGGTGAAACAGAGAACTGAGAGGGCTTCTCAGCAGGACCCTCTGCAGGGAGGATCCGCACCTCAGGCCTAGGCAAAGTGAAATCAGTCGGTCAGGGAAAGGCCACGCCCGATGAGTTCACGTTTCTGTGGAATCTAAAGAACAAAATGAACCAGCCAACGAGATCCAAACAGACTCAGAGACACAGATGTTGCGGAGAGGCGGGGGCTGGGTGGGAAAGGGGACGGGACGGGGCAGGACAGACTGGTCGTTACAGGGCACACGGGCTGCAAAGTCCAGCACGGGGAGGACAGTAACAACATTGTGACAGCCACGGATGGGCTCCGGCGGTCCCGGAAATATCAGGGGGGCACTTTGTAAAGTACGGGATTATCTGACCACCACCTGTACACGTGAAACCAATCCAAAATTATATTGAAGGCAGACTGCAATTGAAAAAACAAAAAACAGCAGAGCTTTCCGTAAATATTATATAAATATTGTAACGATTTTGGGAAGTTGCCCTCTATGTGACACAAGAGTGTCCTTCCCACTATCATAAAATAAACTGATTAATAATTACATTTTTAAAAATATTTCACCCTGAGACTTAAGCTCTTTTCTGTGAGGTACGAAGCAAATTCTAAGAACAGACCGACAGCTGTGCTCGGCAGCCGTGGACCGTGTCAGGAGTGTGGACATACTGTCCGGAGAAAGGTTACCTCAGATGTGAGGACCCCCAGGTCCCCGAAAGCCTGGCTGAGGCTAATAGTCCCGCGTGAAACAAAAGGAAAATGTGTGAAGTTCGTCTCACAACTGGTGGTTCATAATAACATCTTTTTAAAAGTTGTTTATTGCTGATTAAAATCACTGGTGGATCAACGAAGGCATCCAGGATTACTGAAACATAAATAACAAATTACTTCAAGACTCAAAAATGCTTTAAAGGAGCAAGGAAAAAAAAATGGATATCAAACAATCTGAGCTACTCAGACTCAAGACACGGATGCAAAAAGTTCGTGAATTGACAGGCATCATTAAATCTTGTAATATTTTTGCTATTCATCCATTTTACAAAAGGTAATTTGCCTAAGGCATAACTAAATACAATGTGATACTGTTATAGTAGCCAATTTTAAATTTACAGTTTTTGGTCTCCACAGGTGTCTTCTCTTTTTCTTACTTTTCAAAAGTCTACCCATCAAGCTTGGAGCTCCTGGAACAACATCGTCAGTTAGGAGGACATCACTCCAAGCTGAGATTTACAGAAGCTGCTCACCACTCATTGAGAGAACTGAGCAACACGGCTATTGAATGGCCATTGTTGACAGTGCAGGGATATCTCAGGACAGGAAGCAAAAAGTGAGTTTGTCCGTGATGGGCGATGCCAACCCCAGTGCAGAATGCCCGAATGGAGCCGAGGAACCTCAGCTCCGCACGGCTGCCGACCGGGCAATCGAGCCCTTCTTCCACGACCACGTTGGCTACTAATCTTTTCTACATTTGTCTTTCAGATATTTGATTGAATCCATGTGTCTTCGATTTTGCATGAGCTCTTTTCCTTTATACAAATCATTTGCTATTCTAACAGAAGCCCAGGTGCTCGGCCTTTGGTAAACAGTCAATGAGAACTTCAAGTAAAAATGTACCCTCTCACCTAAAAGCGTTATCGACAATATGCAGTCATGGCTCTTCTCAACCCACACCCGGAGCATTGGTGGCAAGTTTCTGGTTTACTTAGTGTCAAACTTAAAGAGCTGATGAAAATGTTGGGCCAGTTACCTTTGCATTGATTATTTGCACCCAAGTAGCACTCAGTTTGGTTTTAAAAGACAACTGCAATTGTTGGACTGGGCTGATGAGCTTAGTGTCTCCAAAGAGAACTAACATAGGTGAATAAAAATATAACAAAAATAGACATCAGACTCAAGAAAAATAAATATCCAGATGCCAGAAATGAAGGAAGAAAACAAAGTAAAAATGATTGCTAATTTATGCCAGTCAATTCTGTGTGGTTTGGCAAAGGCCAATTGATAAATTTGCTAAAGTGCAATTCCTGTGTGAGGATAACACAGTCACATCTTCCAACACAACATAAGGTTTCTCTTTGAGAGATAACTCTGAAAGAACTACTAATAGATGTCCTTCAAGAAAAGGATATTGAACCCAAAGGTGCTAGTTGGATGTTATAAACTAAGGTAAGCTGAGTAAATATTGACCAGACAGAGTAATGATGACAATGACCAATGTGTGTATGGGGAGATGTTAAACACAATGTGGGAACTGAAGAATCAGACAGCAATTATGTGGGAGAAGGAACGAGGCATGAACAGAGCTACGGTCCCTAGAAATCATACAGGTCAGGATGAGGACAGAAATACTGATTCACTTTGAAAATGCACTCTCCCAAATGGTAGCCTCTGGCTCCAGGGGGTATTTCAGTTAAAATTTCAATTCATTAGAAACCAACAAAATTTAAAATGCATTTCCTGCAGCTCTAACATGTAAGGAGTTTGGCCTTCATCCCTTCCTTCCTAACAACAAGACCAACCTAAGCACACTGAAAACCAATGACGCTTCTTGGACCCATCAGAGATTGAGGTTTCAGGGCAAACCACAGTCCTGAAATCTGGAATCACGAGGGTCCAAAGGCGGTGAGACCTACTGTTTTTGCTCAAACATGGTCTGCTTTTGCTCAGGTCCCACCCAGATATGGCTTTCTCTCCCGCAGTCGTAGGTACAGGAGCGAGCAATATTCTCACATGTGCAACATGCGTTCCCCAAAATCCAAATAAACCAACCCAAAGCGGAGCTGCTCCTTTGGTCCCAGGGCTGGGTGGCAACAGAAGTTTATATTTGATCACTTGCAGAATATTCCAGAAGGCCTCTGTCCAGGTTTTTCCAAAAAATTATACTATCAGGGCTGGTCTTTGGACCTCTGCTGGGTTTGGTGACCAGCTTCAGTTGCTTACGTGAGTCATCCCTGCACTGAAATCAGTCCCAACCTGCTCTTCGGTTTCCAGTGTTACCACAACGTCATCAATATGCTGTCTTATTATACCGGAGAGCTGCATCAAGTCCAGGTCCTTCCTGACCACAGACAGGGCCAGTAAGCTGGTGAGTTTAGATAACCCTGTGACCGTACAGTAGACATACGGGCATCTATCCCATGTGAAAGTGAACTATAGTTGGCTCCTTCCCAAGATGGAATAGGAAGTGTTTGGGGAAAAATAACTGAGTATCAGTCTCCTTTAGCCTATTGTATTATTATTGTTATTGTTATTATTATTATTATTATTATTTCCAACTAGAGATTGCTTCCCCTGCCTAATAGTGTAAACAGAAGGCATGAAGGTCTGCCCTTGGGTGTTTTAATTTGGTATGTAGCCAACAGAACTGCCCAAACACAGGCAGGTAGTGAATTTAAAACAATAACGGAATATAGCAGGTCCTCAATGAGCATAGTTTTGTTCAATGTTGTCTTTGTTATAAAGTTGATCAAATGCTGTAGGAACTTAAGTCTGGTTTCTATCAATGAGTCTCTGGTAAAATTGGTTTCATTATAGTCATTTCCCTTAGAGTCCCAGAACCTATTGACAACTTACTGCTCTGAAGATTTGCTGTACCTAGTAGGCAAAAAGAAATTGCTATTTTAATTAATTACATTTGAAAAGCTGAAGTGCTTGGGTACCAATGAATTCTCTGTACAGTGACCCTCATGCAAAAGGCTTATAGCTCATGGAGACTAACAAAAGACTACCGAGGTTTAAATAAAGGTGTACCAGCCCTGGCCAGTTTGGCTCAGTGGTTAGAGTGTCAGCCCGTGGACCAATGTGTCGTAGGTTTGATCCTGGTCAAGGGCACGTCGTACCTTGGTTGTTGTTCATTCCCAGCGCTGGTCAGGGTCGTGCTGGAGGCAACCAGTCGAGGTGTCCCTCTCATGTCGATGTTTCTCTCTCCCTCCCTCCCACTCTATCTGAAGATAAATAGAAAATATCCTCAGGTGAGGATTAAAAATAATTAATTAATTAATTAGTTTTAAAAAATAATTATACCACTCACATGGCCACAGCCGTTCTGGACACGGTTTATCCACACCAAACAACAACAACGGCATATCTGAGCTGCTTTCCCAATGCATGTGTGTGCTCAACATGAGCTAAGGGACTCCTAACCCTGGGAACTTGGAACAATTTCTGGAAAGGTCTCAGAGGAAGGCTCTTGGGTTGTCCTTGGCTATGAAAGCGAATTCGGGAAGCAGACCCAGCCTGGAGCGCAGCATCCTGGCGCCTCCAGCTGATGATTACATCCCCCCCATGTTGCAGAAAGCAGGTTTTAGTAAATGTCCTATTGCAGAAAATTCACGCTTCAAAAATTCCAAGTTTGTGGTTTTATTTCCTCAAAACCCAGTTCCTGGTTCTTCAGATAACTTCATTAATACTTTGTATTGCTTTTATCACAGATTTTTCTATCATCTCTAAAGTTGGGAGGAAGAATAATTTTACGATGTATTCATTTATTAACTAAATATACACAATGTGCCTGATATCAATGTTAACAATTTTTTAAATTATGCAAACCGTGAATGATTGCATATAACATAAACTCATAGGACATCAACAGGAAAGACCGGGCTTCAGGCTTATGCGTCGTCGGGATGAGAGAGGAGTCTCCATCTCATGGTTGTATCAGCCTCTTCATCAAAATTGCCCACCTCCTGCTCCTTAGAAAGCTCCACCAATACCTAAGTAAGAAACAAAGAAGAAGGAAAAAGAATCCTCAAGTTGTTGACTGTCTTTCAAACAAACAGCAACAGCGCATGTTACTTTCATGTGCAATTTACAAAAATGGTCCAAGTTGACTCACCTTTTCCAATGTGCACTGAGAAAGGCTGTATTCCTCCAGGTCAAAATTGTGTTTTACTGGGAGGAGAATAAAAAGACTAGTGTAGATGCTTATAATTTATGACCAAGAATTATTTAAACTCACACAAAATAAACATGCAAATCATTCATATAGCTGGAATACAGAGCTGAATAAATAAATGCTTGGTGAAAGAAAAACATAATGAAAAGTCAGAGAGAATGTAAACACACGATGAATTCATTGTGTATTAGAATTTTCTCATATTACATTTTGATAATATGTGTTTTGTTACTTAGTCTCTGTGTCCCCGGAGATACACACGTTCCTTGAGGAGCTGCATAGTTGACCGATACATTCTTGCACATGAAGATGATTTCAGTCTCATTCCGTTCCCTTTCAAAGGACCCAACTCTTCTGTGCAATTGTCTCAGCCAGCTCACAGGCTGTACCAGCTCCCTGTGGCCTTCCCCACCAGGAAATCGGCCTGGGTGTGGTCACCAGATGTGCACATTCACGTGTTCCCAGTTCACCATTTATACATTGAGAACCTTCTATGTGTGGGAGCCACCCTGAGGTGCCAGAGGTCGAGCTGCAAATAAAACAGCCCAAAACAAAACCCCCTGCCTTTGTGTCGCCTGCATTCTAGTAGGAGGAATATGGGCATTAAACAAATGAGCCATACATCACAAATATGTTAATTTATATCAACGTAACAAGGTAAATGATGACTGCTTTGATGGAGGAAAGAAAGAAATCAAGGGAAGGAAACAGGAAGTGGTGGGCACGCTTCTGACAGATGGTTCGGAGAGGCCACAGTCACAAGGTCAGAACTGAACAGAACCCGATGGAAGCAAGGAAGCAGCCTGGAGCGTTAGGAAGCAGAGTTCCAGAGAGAAGATGAGCAAGTGCAGAGTCCGGAGGCAGGACTATGATGTGTGGTAGCATTTAGGAAGGACCAGGAAGGCAGGAGCACTGGTGACAGCCAGGCGGGTCCTTAGCTCTTTACAAATGAGCTCAGTTAATGGTAACAGCTGTGCCCAGTGATGTGTGTCGGAGACGAGCCGTCCAGACCTGCGGGGACTGTGCATCTCTGTCCGGTGCCCCCTGGCTTGTAAGCAGCAGTGCGGCCGGGGACCCAGCGGGCCTGCTGCCACAGTGTGAGCCTTTGCCACCTTGCTGTGCCCAGAAATTCCAGCCTGGTGGTTTGCTCTTGGGATTGACCCAGGGCACGTGGCACAATGATGACGAAGGGAGAAAATGGACACTTCACGTGGCCAGAGGAGGCGTGCACAGTGCAGGGGACGCCTTCGCTGGAGACACGGACCGCTCGTCCGCTCGTCTGGAACAGGGAGGCGGAACACACCGCAGCTGCAGGGAAGTGTTCGGTGGCCTCTATGTTCCCGGCGAAAGGTACAGCAAGGGCATCGGCCGCGGGACAAGAGCAGGAACATGGATTGTGTACATGTAAGCAAAGCAGACTTGACTAAAGGGCTTTCTGGGCTCAAAGCCACGAAATCACATGAAAACCAATCAAGCACAACAATGTGTTTTCTGTAGCTTCCATCTGCACGGGAAACTAACCTCTCTCCAGCGACTCGGATTAACCAAAATCAGGGTTAAATCCCATCATGTACCATTAGAATACTTAGGATCATGCCCCACAGGACAGAGTTTAAAAACTGTATTACACAGTTATCTGTTATGAAATTATTATCTAAGTCTGCATTAATTGTTCCAAAGTTTTCTTCTATAAATGGTCATTCTTACCTGCCTCTAATTTGTGAAAGGCCTGAGCGAGAGGATGAGCATCCGCCACGGGCAGTTTATAGGTCAAGAAGGAGGAATACCTGGGAATAGGAAAATGTCAGTTTGACCTTGAGTTTCAAGGAGAAAAAAAAAATGACCATCAATTGCTGATATTATCAGCAATTTCCTCTCTGTAATAAAAATAGTGTAAATGAACCCAGGCCCGCTGGCTCAGTTGGTTGGACATTGTCCTGTGCACCAAAAGGCTGTGGATTTGATTCCTGGTCAGGGTACAGACCTAGGATGTGGATTTGATCCCCAGTTAGGGCACATACGGGAGGCAACCAATCCGTGTTTCTCTCACATCGACGTTTCTCTCTCTCTCTCTCTCTCCCCCTTCCTCTCTCTGCAGTTCTATAAGCATATCCCCCGGTGAGGATTTAAAAAATAATAATGCAAATTAATGCAGATCACCTATGAAATAAATAAAACACTTTATCAAAGGAGATTTTCTGAAGTGGCTTTGGGAGCTGGCCATCAGAGATGATCTAGCCTAATTATAGTTACACTCAGTTTACCCAAACCTTTTTCTTGCTGAACGCGGTCACTGTGAACTAATCCCTTCAGTAAATTCAAATTAGGCTGAAACTAATCTCAACCTACTATTTCACCCTCATCACCAGAAAGCTAAGGAAAGGAAGAGGTTGGGAAAGAGGGGCATAATAGTGGAGGGGTTCAAAAGGCTTGACCCCATCATGCCATGGACTGAGAGGTCCCAGCTGGATTCCTGGTTTGATTCCTGGTCAGGGCACAGGCCCGGGTTTCAGGCTGGATCCCCAGTGGGGAGTATGCAGGAGGCAGCCGATCGATGTCGATGTTTCTCTCTCCCATCAATGTTTCTATCTCTCTCTCTCTACAAAAAAAAAAAAAAAAAAAAATCAATACAAACTATTTAAAAAATCAAAATCAAAAGGATTAACTAACAACGTCCCTGAGCTCCGAGGGGAGAAGAGCTCTTGTTCCCCTCATGCACCTTCCGGCTGTGTGAGCTCGCGCCCCGTCCTCTGCTCCTTCCCAGCCCAGAGTCTGCAGCTCCCAGGTGCCCTCACTGCCCAGACTTCCAGGGCTGCCCTCCTCATCCCAGACACTGCCCTTCCAGCCTGCCCACTCATGATCTCCCCAACTGTATCCAGACTGCGTCTCAGGTTTGTGACCAAAGGTCTAGGAGCAGGACTGTCGCAGTCCTGCCATGCTCGTCAGATAGCGCCATGATGTCGATACTGTGCTGAACAGAAACCGCAGTTATGTCCGGCTTCTTTGGGTGATCATCTCTCCAAGGGAGTTCAAGCTCAGTTCTTGCTCCTTGTCCCCTTCGCTCCAGTAACACATGGACATACACAAGCATTACACACACACACACACACACACACACACACACACACACCCCTTGCTAGTCTTCATTTTGAGTCATGAAAACTCCGCCAAAGGAAGACTCTTTGATGATCTCAGTTGCTATTTGTTCTCTATGAAAGGGATTCACTCTAAATAGTTACATCTTTTAAATTATAAATATTTACCTTCTAAATATTTCTAGGGAGGCCCAAGGAAGGTGCCAGGGGCCTGCCTGTGGTCCCGTGTGAGTTTGAGGCATCAGAAATTCATTCCCCCTGCCCCCCCCATTTTTCCAAGTCTCCCTCCAGAGCCCTGGCTACCCTTGGATGGCAGAGGAAACCCATGAAGGGGGTCCCCAGGCTTCCCTGGGGGACACAGCTTCCGGGGTAGCCCCCAAATCTCATACTCTGGAAGACTCAACAAGTCAGTTCTTGGGGTCCCTACTTTCATTATGAAGTCACATCACCCTGAAGTTCTTACAGAGCAGACAAGGAACCCCCGAGTGGGCACAGCCAGCAGGCTTCACCTTTCCTGGCGCATCGCCTGGGGGAAGAGCTTCAGGATCTCAGCGTGGACCAGAGCCACGCGAGCCGTTTCCCTCACTTTCAGTTCCAGGACGTAAGCCTGGCCAAGTCTGCTTTTCAGGTGCTGGATGGAGCCCACGCATCTGTGGACAAGAAGGAGAACGTGTGGAATAAGTACTGCCCCTGACATTTTTACATTATTCTTACATTTCAGATGTAAGGGAAAAGGCATCACTGACGGAGCCAAAAGGAACCCCAGATGGTGGCTGTCCCCTTTCCATGGGGAATCTCACTTTGGGGTCAAGTGAAGGCTATGGAAAGACACCCACCTCAGCCTCCCAGACACCATGATGGCCACGCGGTCACAAACGGCCTCGGCCTCAGCCAGGTGATGGGTGATCAGGAGGGCCCCCTTCTCGGTGTTCTTAATGGCTGTCTGGATCATCTGCCTGAAGGAAGCCCCCAAAATCAACACCATTAAAAATAAAGAGCTGGTGGGGGAACAGATGACAGGGACATTGTATAGGCAAATCACAGTTTATGACTAATATTTAGATTCTAATTTTTTTTAAAAAAAAGGGAAATGTGACTATTATACGGATCACTGTTGGAAGTGGGTGATGGGATTCATAAATGGTTCTCCCTCTCTCTCTCTCTCTCTCTCTCTCTCTATATATATATATATATATATATATACACATATTTTCATTCCTCGACCAGGGCTGGGGCTGCAACTGCAACCGAGGTACTTGCCCTTGACTAGAATCGACCCTGTAACTCTTTGGTCAGCGGGCTGATGCTCTACTGCTGAGCCAAACTGTCCAGGGCGATTCCCTTCATATTAGTATAAAATTTCCATAACCAAGTTCTTTTTAAAACTTGGACAGTCACAAATATAAAATTGAATTGGAAAATTCTATTAGTCCAAATGGAAAGTCTTTGATAGAAAACTAATAATTATTTAAAAACTAAGAAAAGTTACACAAATTTGACAGATTAGGTAAAAGGGGGAAAAAAGAAATGGGAAAGTTATGTCACTAACTTAATAGTTTGTAAGGAAGCAGCTATAGACATCTCAATAATTAAAAGACAAACATCAAAATACACTCCTAATTGCAATATCTAAAACCCCAACAAAATCCTTAGACATTTGTTGTTTTGCTTTTTTAGAAAAATGTGAAAAATACATGAATATGATACAACATTAGAGAACCTATTTGTTTGATAATTATTTTCCTAATTATATGGATTATCTTCACTGAACTAGGAACCAGTGGATTTGACTTTCTAAGATCAGCTTAAAAATGTAACTTTTAGCCCCAGCCAGTTTGGCTCAGTGGATGAGCGACGGCCCATGGGCCAAAGACTCATGAGTTTGGTTCCCAGTTGGGGGCATGTGCCTGGGTTGCAGGTTTGGTCCCCAGCCCCATCCCAGTCCAGGGTCATGTAGGAGGCAACCAGTGATGTGTCCCTTTCACACTGATCTGTCTCTCTCTCCTTCCCTCTCTTCCACACTCTCTATATCTAAAGGTCAATGGAAAACCATTTTGGGGTAAGGATGAACAACAACAAAAGCAAGTTTTACATAGGCGTATCCTTCTGGCTCTGAGGGTGACGATTCTCACCACATTTGCTGCTGCCCGACAGGGTCCATGCCTGTAGATGGCTCATCCAGGAGCAGGACAGGCGCATTTCCCAGGATGCTCAGCATGAAACACAGCTGAAATGCAGAGAAACACCTCTATTGGCTGCACTGCCGCGTCGGCCCTCAGAACAGCCTCACACAGCACACGTACCTTTCTGGAGGCTCCTGCCGTTAATTTCTGCACTGGGGCATCCAGCTGCTCCCGCAGTTTGAAGGTGTCCACCAGCCTGATGGGAAACAGGGCGAGAGTGTCAGATCCAGGGGGAAAGATCATCACGTGGAAGAGAAACAGCCTTAGAGGGAAGCTGGGTGCTATTATTGTCAAAACTCTGACTGTAATGACCAAAAGAAAATAACAGTTTGTTTCGGAAGATGAAAGATTTTTCATCTCATAACAACTTTTTAAAAGTTATCAATAAAATTTACTTTCAGGCCCGGCCGGCGTGGCTCAGTGATTGTGGACCCATGCACCAGGAGGTCGCAGGTTCGATTCCTGGTCAGGACACATGCCCAGGTTGTGGGCTCGATCCCCAGTGGGGGGCGTGCAGGAGGCAGACAATCGATGTTCTCTCTCAACCATGTTTCTATCTCTCTCTCCCCCTCCCTTCCTCTCTCTCTAAAACCAATAAAGATAAAAACATATATTTTAAAAAAGAGTAACTAGAATTCTGCATTTGGGAGAGAAATGGGTGATTATTCACTAACTGCCAAAAATAGTTCTCATCCTCCCTCCCTGCTCTACCACTGACACCCTCTGAAAAGGGGAAGACATCATTTCTACTTCCCATTCTTTTCTTTTTTATTGTACTTATCAATGACCTGGTCATATTTTTTTGGTCTTTCACCATTTTACTTATTTTTATTGTTGCAGGTAGTACAGATGTCCCCTCTTCTTCTCCATTGACCCCTCCTCCCACGCCCACCCGCTCCTGCCTTCCCCAGCCTCGTGTCTGTGTCCACTGGGTGTGCAAATCTGCGTATACGGTCTTCGGTGTCTCTCTTCCCACCCCTCCCACCCCGTCCCTCTGAGGTTTGTCAGTCTGTGTCCTACTCCCATGACTCTGGATCTCTTTTGGTCGACAGCTTGTTTTGGTCACTATGTCCTCCCCATTCTGTATGACAATTCATCACCCTGCATAGCCTCCCTGCCTCTTGACACAAAGGCACCGCATGACCTCTCTGTACCGTGTGATGGCGACCACGGCGTCCGCGTCCCTCAGCCCCTTCACCGCCGCGAACACCTCCAGGTGCTGCCTCACCGTCAGGCTGGGCCACAGCGCGTCCTCCTGGGGACAGTACCCCAGGAACCGGACCGTGCTGTCTCCCTGAGGGTCCCCAACTGAACTGCATCCTGCCAGCTCCACCTAAGGAAGCAAACCGATTTGAGAAACGCAGGCAGCCTTGTCTGCAGTCACACAGTAGCTCCAGAAACTGGCAGACAGCGAATAAATGTCTTTTTTTTTTTTTTTGGAGGATCAAAGAAATATTTGTAGAAATTACTTCCTATATGTTTTAGTTCATACTTTTTCAATGACTCAAAGCATAGTCATACAGAGATGTAATCTATATTTATCATGACATTGTGGGCCTGGGAATGGAAACTGTCTTCATTAACTACCTCTCCAGCCGTCGGCTTCGTGACCCCAGATATCACTCGAATGGATGAACTTTTACCGGCGCCACTGGGTCCCAGCAATCCCAGTATTTCACCTGGAAGAGAATCATTGATTATCCATATTGGATGTGAAGTGCTGGTCAACATGAACCTGTTTCTTCAATAACCTTCTTTAATAACCTTACTGCCATTTTGAAATGTATAACATACATGTAATCCATGCTACCAATACATGTTCTTGAACTCCTATCATTGTATAAACTATTAGTGAAAAGCTTATGAATTTGATGTCAATACATCTTTTTTTTTTAAATCTTTTAGTGAAAAATGTGCCCCGACTGTTTCCTATAGCAGGGGGCTGACCTGCTGGTACACGGATTAGGATAGCTCACTCGGGAAGTCGGGGACATTGCTCCATCCCAAATTCCACCACCTGTGTTCAAGCCATCTCTCACCTGCACTGAGATAAAAGTCTCTTAACTTATCCACAACCCAAATGTATAGACACGTAATAACCCGTGTGTGTTTTTCCTCAAACCTAACCTGTGACATAACACCGGCTGAAAACGCTCCATAGCGTTCCAGTGACTTGGTGGAGTCTGAGTTCTGTGCTGTATTTCACAAAGCTGCACCTGCTGGGCACCGGCCTCTCTGATTTGCCCCGCCTCCCGCAGATGCAGCCCCGCCCTCTTCCTGTGTGCCTCTCCCCTCCCAAGGCATCCCCGTGTCTGAGTCCCTGCCCTCGGGGTGTCCTCTGCCTGGGGCCCTTACCCTTGTGCTCACAGAGCTGGCACCTTCTCATCCCCCAGAGTACTGCTCCCGGAGGGTCTTCCCTAACTCTAGGTGAGGCAGCCCCAGGTCACACACCATGTCACATGTTCGCCTCTTCCGCATAGAACTTGCCTATGTGATCTTTGATACTTTTCTTGACAAGTGATGTTTGGTTATTGATCCCTCTTAGAATGTAAAATCCATGAGGTCATGAGCTTGCCTATTTCTCTCATAATTATATTTTCAGAGTCTAACACAGTCCCTGGAACCCTCAAAATACACCCGTTAAATGGATGAGGGCGTCAGCATGTACCGTAGTGCCTACTACACAGGGCTTCAGTGGGCATTTCTCAAAATAATGGTGAATTACAAAGAGAGTGGTTCTTCCAAACCTTTTTTAACACAGAAAGAGATATTTCTTATTGCTACTTTCTTCTTCCTCTTTGAAAAGCAGTTCATCTTCGGGCCTGCATATTCTTTGTGCAGACAGCTAGCGATTATGACGGGTCTCTGGAAGAGATGACAAGGTGATTGTCCTCTGAAACTTCAGAGACTTGGAGTTCCCATGTCCTCCCTCCTGGAACCCTTCCCGCCCTGTGTCATAAACCACATCAGAGTTGGCGTGGAGGGTGGTCCTATTGCTTGTTTCCAAGGTAACCTGCACTCGTTCATGTTTCTTGCTTCTCAATGGGCTGAGGAAAACAGCATCATTTCAGGGAAGGTGGCTCACTGCCTTCCCAGAACAGAAGTGTCTAACCTCATGGAAATATCACATCTAAGTCAAAGAAAAGAGTAATGCTTAGCCTGGCCGGTGTGGCGCAGTGGTTGAACATCGACCCATGCACCAAGAAGTCGCTGGTTCGATTCCTGGTCAGGGCACATGCCCAGGTTGTAGGCTCAATCCCCAGTGGGGGGCATGCAGGAGGCGGCCAATTGATGTTCTCTCTCATTGATGTTTCTATTTCTCTCTCCCTCTCCCTCTCTCTAAAAAACATCAACAAAGAAAAAAAATTTTTTTAAAGAATAACGCCTAAAATCCCAATCTCTATTTAGGATTTTATAACAAATTGCATCCATTCCTCAACTCATGAATTTTTTGTTTTCAATATTATAGCTCCAATGAGCAAAGCCCATTTTCTTCCAATCCATTGTGCTTTGTATGCTTCTTGGAGCTTCTAGGACACTCCCAAGAAGTGCCTGCACAGTTCGTAATTATGAAAACGCACCAAACACCCCCCTTTCAGAACGCAAACCAGCACCTCCACCTCTGCTCGTGAGCATCCCTGTCTAGTCCCATTAGCATGCACTCTGTCCCGTGCTCGGCTACCTCTTCGAGGCCAGAGGTGGTCAGGGCGGCTGCCGTCCTCACTCTTTCTGCTTGGACATCCTCGTCTTCTTCGACAGGTTCCTCTGGGTTTGGCCCAGCCTTTCTTCTTTGGGGGGAAATTCTGCAGAGAACGTGAGATGTTTGTGCCGTGTAATTGTTTTAGTTGTCAAAGATGGACCACAAATCAGCCTCCTGGTGATCTTCCCACTGTGCTTTCCCAATGTCACTTTCTTTCAGCACACTGCTGGTCCTGTGACTACTGCTCTGCTTTGGCCAGAAATCCCCACCCCAGTGGCCAGAATCCCTTTCTCTGGGTGGTTCCCATTCTTTCCGTTAGCACCTTAGACCATCTCTAATATGCTAGCAAGTACTGCTGTTTATTTTATTTGTTTATTTTTTAATCCCCACCAAAGATATCTTTCTATTTATCTTCAGGTAGAGAGAGAGGAAGAGGAAGGGAGAGAGAAAAACATTGGTGTGAGAGGGGCACATCAACAGGCTGCCTCCCACATGACCCTGAGCAAGGCCAGGGACGAACCGCAACTGAGGTTGGTGCCCTTGGCTGGACTCGAACCTGGGACTCATTGGTCTGTGGGCTGATGCTCTAACCACTGAGCAAAACTGGCCAGGGCACTGCTGCTCCTTTAAATATCGGCTCACCAACATTTTCTGTTTACTGTGAGCCCATCTGCGCAGCCCAACATTTGCCTTAGCATCTCTCACCGTCTGCCCTTTCTGGAGGCCCCACATGGGAAGCACTGGGAACTGTGCCATCCAACTGATTCCGTCCCATCTCTCCTGCTCAGAGACGGGTGACTGCCTTGGATGGCAGATCGGCACACTGAGGACTCATTACGAGGCTGAGGGACTGAAAGCTTCCCCTGCCGGTGAGTGTCCGAATCCGCTGGGAGCCCTGTTTCCCGCCGGTAAGCCAGCCGTCCCCTGACCGCCAGGAAAGCCAGCTGTTCCCACTGCAGAGACAGGTCTGCATGACAGGCTGACAGTGCAGCCGCGCTAGGAACGCTACAGCACGGTATTCAGTGTGAAATGAAGCTTGAGCCAACCTGAGAACGGGATCCTTTCGCACGACTGTCTGCCCACACTTTATCTCCATGAATCTTAGAACAAAAACGAACAGCAGAGCCTGAAAGTAAGGCTAGAAGCAAAGAAAAACAGTCGTATTTAGGTATTTCATTCACAGATGTAATTTAGACACTCGGACTACGTTGGCGACCTGCTGTCTTCAGGTGAAAGAGGTATGGATCGTCTTACAACCCAGGGAAGAAGTCCGTGAGCTCTGCAGAGACAGTCCAGCCTAATGGGACCCAACTCCTTGCTCCTCCCACCCCACAGCCAGCCTGCCGCAAACTCCCTCTGCTTCACCTTCAGCACTATCCGGGACCCAACCACATCTCACCCACGTTTGTGCTGCCCCACCCGGGCCCAGGTCATTATCATTTCTCATTATTAAAAAAGAAATATCAAAATATGGCAGCACCTTCTGACCTGGTCTCGCTCCCTCTTTTCCCCTCGCTCCCCACATGTATCCTCAACACAGCCTCTACAGCCTCTCTTGTTTGTTTTTGTTGTTGAAAGTATTACAGATGCCCCCCTTTTTACCCCATGGACCCCCTCCTTCCCGCTCCCACCCACCACCTGCCTCTCTTTGGAAACATGTCCTGTCAGCTCACTTCACTTAAAACTCTCCACTGACACCTCAGTTCTCAAAGCAAAGTCAGAGTCCGTATAGTGTCTGAGAACACGCTGGGGAACCTCTTCTATCCACCCACACGTGACCCTGCCTCCTGCCTGACCGTGGAGCAAGCCAGGATGACTCCTGCCCCTGCTATCGGCGAGCTCTGCCCGCGCTCTACGCCTTGCTTCCACGCCTCGGGTCTTTCTTTCTCAGCCAGGCTCTCCTGAGCACCCGTCTGGCACGGCACATATTATCTGCTTAGTTTGTTATGCGCCTTGCACTGAAACGTAACTCCAGGAGGGCAAGGACTGCTGTCTACAGCTGCTCCCAGGCCAAGAAAAGGACTGACACATTGTATTCAAAGACAGTAGCTTTCTTTAGTCTAAATATATCAACAAAATCATTTTTTTCCTTTTCTTTCTATTATTCAACTTTGGCTTTTTTAAAATCTCTAATTCAAAGGACTTAAGTTACATTTCATCTGTACTTTGGACAAGCTCTCTGAAATTTGGAGGGGGCAGTACAAAGGAGAAATAACATGAAAAGTTAATTTCATATTGAATTCTAAATTTATACCATCCATTCATCCATATAAAAAGTAATTCCAGGATTTAGAATCATGTTGGGATGTAACTGCTTATTCTAAGATTATATTAAAAACACCTTTAAAGTTGGCACACTTCAGGCAAGATCAAGTAGTTATTACAGTAAATGATAACTATCCAAAAAAAAAAGGAAAAAAGTGGTGAGTTAGAAAAACCTTCTTACTATTAGGCACACTAGAAAATCAACTGCATTCAGGTCAAAAGATGAGTCTTGATCATTTCTTTGGTGCTCGAAGTATCTCTGCAAAGGCAAAACAAAAACAAGGCTAAATGAAAATTCATCTGCTTCATAATTTTCATTTAAATAATATGGAATTTCACATATTGAATATTTTCCTTAAGCTTGAGTTCCCTATATGCACTTGTGACAAGCAATTCCCTGCGGAGATGTGGGGACTCCCTACTCAACTCTCAATGTTTCTCAGTGAGCAGGTAACCTGTATTTGTCTTCTCCAATTCCTCATTTTTCTTTACTATTTTGGTTTAATGTTGTCTGAAAGCCCACTGAAAGTGTAAAAGAGAGAGGTGCCTTCATTAGGATAAATTCTAGAGGTCAAACATATTTGTCCTAATGAGCCTCCCAATGGTGACTGTTTCCACCATAATAATCAATCCTGTTGTGTTATTCTGTCTTCCTCAATCAATACATGCAAAAAGTAACTCATTACTCCTAAATATGTGTGACAAGTCTAGGTTAGTATATTTCACTTTGCAGGTCTACTTCTGTTTCAGGAGGAAAATGCTTTAAACAAAGGAATAGATTTTCACTTGAGAATCCCAGGCACTGCTCAGTCAATGAAAAAGTGTTCTCACAGATGGAGGGCTTTTCAAGGTTCCCAAGAACACAAGCTTAGGGGAGCCCTCTCTACTGTGTTCAAAACCACTTCATTCAGGATGGAGCAGGGCCCCCCAAAGTATGTTCCTGACTGAGCTCTTCTGCTCATCTCATTGTACGTTTCTTTCCACTCGAATCATGGTCCGTTTCTTTAATGCTCCCTGGTCTTTCCTGTTTCAACACCTTTGCATCCCTCTACTGAACATGCTTCCCTCCTGCTACATTCTCCCTCCAGTTCATTCTTCCTCATTCTTCAGGACTGTGTTTAAACATTGCTTCCCCTTAGAAGAATTCTCTGACTCTCCAGAGCACATCAGCTGGGCTTCAGACTCTGCGCTTCTCCTTTGCAAACGTTAGGTCCCTTGCATTGACTGCCTTGAGGCTGGCCTTTGTCTCCACTACGCTCTGTGAAAGGTAGGACTGTACTATCTTGTCCATGAGATGTCCCCAATTACAAGCACCGTGCCTAACGTGGAATAGTGTTTAAAATATACTTGGAACGAGTGAATGATACTGTACATTGAGTGTATTTCTCGCAGTGGATAAGGAATACCCATGACACGGGGCAACATCTTCCAATCTGGCATTCGTTTTGAATAGGCGTATGTTTGGCAAAGTGCATACAGCAAAGCTTATTTAACAGCTTTACTGCGGTTCCATTTTCACGCCATGAAACCTACCCACTGTAAGGGTGGGGTTCTTAGGGAACGTGGAGAGCTGTGGAAGCAACACCGCAGCTGAACCTGAGAAGAGCCCACCGCACGTCCTCGCCGGCACCGCCCATTCCCTGCCCCGCCCAGATCCAGAGAACCCACGGCCGACGGTCTTGACAGACTTGGGCAAAGCATTTCAATAGGTTGCATAGTCAACATTAGGGACACCAGTTGACAACGTGTCTTACCTCTGCCAAAAAAATTAAAAATCCATCCAAGATGCTTGAGGGAACAATAATCATGCCAAAAACCAAGGCAGATAACTTGAACCGATATATTAAAATGAAGTCTATCAAGCCGCTGGAGGTCTACAAGGCAAGTTGAAATATATTTTGCGTCAGACCTGCTCAGTCATTGACATTTGAGAAAACATTTAAGATGTAGATGTTCTTATCCTATGTCTCATAAATCTCCTATATGCAGATACACTGCTTTCAGAAGGAAAAGGGAGAGGATACGCTTTCGTTAATGAGTATATGACTCCTAAAAAATCAGGATGTCCTCTCCCCTACCCTGAGGTTTTCTAAAATATGTTTTTTTCATTGCTTTTTTAGAGAGAGAGAGATAGAAACATCACTGTGAGGGAGAAACATTGTCCGGCCGTCTCCTGCACGCCCCCTACTGGGGATCAAGCCTGAAACCTGAGCCTGTGCCCTGACCGGGAATCCAACTAGAACCTCTCAGTCAGTCCATGCTCAATCCACTGAGCCACACGGGTCGGGTTAAAATCTATTCCAACTTTTTTGTTCTTGTTGGTTAATCCTCACCTGAGGATAGTTCTCCACTGATTTTTAGATAAAGTGGGAGGGAGGGAGGGAAGGAGGGGGGGAGAGATAGAGAGAGAGAGAGAGATTAATTAGTTGCCTCCCCTGCAACCAGGTAAGTGCCCTTGATCGGGAATCGAATCCATGACCCTTCGGTCCAAAGGCTGATGCTCTAACCACTGAAACAAACCAGCCAGAGCAACACTGAAGTTTCTAATCGTTATACCTGCTCCATCAATTCCCCATTTCACATACATGATTTTTCAGAGATTATACATTTTGATTGTAATGAACTCATTTTCTTTTAGCTTACTGCAAAATGTTGGGGTGGAGATAAAAATAACATTTTACTTTTCTAATTTGAGGATCAGTTTATTAGTAAACAAGTATGTTTTGAGCACTTTATTGAACCTTTGCTGAGTCTCATTAATGTATTAATTATAATAAAACTAGTAAGAATGAAAAGTGCTCAATTCATTGAATATTACACAAATGCCAGGGATTAAGAATTGAGCATAACGTGGCTGGTGTGGCGCAGTGGTTGAGCATCGACCCCTGCACCAAGAGGTCGCGGGTTCCTTTCCCAGTCAGGGCACATGCCCAGGTCGTGGGCCCAATCCCCAGTGGGGGGCATGCAGGAGGCAGCCAGTCACTGTTGTCTCTCACTGATGTTTCTATCTCTCTCTCCCTCACCCTTCCTCTCTCTCTCAAATCAATAAAGAAAAAAAAAAGAATTGAGCATGCACTGTTTACTTTAACCTCACAGCAACTCTATAATGTAGTTATTCTTATCATCCCTCCCTTTATATATTGGAAATCCAGGGTCCAGGGACATTAAATAACATCCTCAAAACGACACAGTTCGTAGGAACAAAGCTGGAACTGAAAACTATGGGTGGGCGTGACTGCTAAGTCTTTATGTCAGAAAACCATACTGTTTTGAAGAATTGTTATATACAGAGAATGTCCTATTGTTACTAAGTGAATTTAAAGTTATGGGAGAAAATGTAATGCATATATAAAAACAACTGGGGGGGGGGGGCACACAAAAAAACGTATAATCAAGGATTCAGTACGAGCACAGTAAGCGTGTTAGATGGGAAGTCCAGAGAGATTTCTCTCGCTGGGCAGCCCCACATCTCTCTACAAAGGTATTGCACAATTGTCCATGTCTGCGTATGTCTCTCCTTTTAGTTTTCATGACATCTCACTTCTCTATTTTTTCCCCCAGCTCCTTATTTTTGATAACAATGTGTCCTTTAGTCCAATTAGCTGACTCTGCTTATTCCACTAGGCCTCCATGTTTCTACTTTTGTGACTCGTTCTTTTCTTCCTTTCTCACCCACTGGAACAAGAGAAGATGTCAAAACGCATGAAAAGAAATATTGCATTGCCCGGGGTGCAGTGAGATGTGACCATGTGTCCACCACTGGGCTGAAATGTGGGCTGAAAGGATGCTTCCTTATTAGATAAGGGCCTAGGATACTCCTGAGGTGCCACACCCTTGGGGGTACAGGAGTCCACTGGACTCTAAAAACAAATTAACTATTGACTGTGACTTTACTTGGTGATGGGGAGACATTGCCTGTACTGTCCTTCCATGTATATCAAAGATCAAGAAAGGACATCAACATATGATACATTTATATACATGATCCTGCAAGTAATAAAACAATGACCTCAGTCCTAAGACGGGCATTAAACTGGTTTAAATGTACACTCACTGCATGGTGAAAGGTCAGTTATCATGCTACTTACCCTCAATACATATTTTGAATGAAATTAAAAGTTCTTGGTAAAAGGCATAAAGTTATTGCAAACTGCTTGAGGTCTCGGTGAAGATGTAAAACTTAGGCTACTCAAATCAAGATGCTGATCAACACAAATTTCACTTCAGTTGTTGATCATGCTACCATCTCTTCTTTTTCTAATCCTCACCCGAGGATTTCTTTTTCTTTTTGTTTTTTGTTTGTTTGTTTGTTTGATTTATCCTCACTCGAGGACAAATTTCCTTTTTTTTTTTTTTTCCAGATAGAGTGGGAAGGAGAGAGAGGAAGAGAGAGAGAGAGAAACACCGACGTGAAAGGGACCCATCGAGTGGCTGCCACCTGTATGACCCAACCAGAGCTGGGCAAAGGCAACCGAAGTACATGCCATTAGCGGGAACCAAACCCGGGTCTCTCTGGACTGCAGGCCGACACTTTAACCGCTGAGCAAAACCGTCCAGGGTGGATTATTTTATTTTATTTTATTTTTTTAGATAGAGTGGGAGGAGGGAGGGAAAGGGAGGAAGAGAGAGGAACATCGATGTGAGAGAGACACATTGACTGGTTGCCTCCCACATGACCTTGACCAGGGCTGGGGATCGAACCCACAACTGAGGTAAGTGCCCTTGACCAGGAATCAGACCCCTGGACTCTTTGGTTCGAGGGCTGACACTCTAACAGCTGAGCCAAACCAGCCAGGGCCCATCTCATATTTTTGACATGAGGAACAACATAAGGTCTGAGACCTGTTTTGTTCCTGAGTCTGTGACTAGTTTTCATGTGACCTTGAACAAGTTACTTAAATATTTTCACTCTAAGGAAATGAGGGGAATTATACTAGATAATGTTGAATTATTTTCAAATCTGACATTCCAGTATGCCATAAATATGTAGTTTCTTTTCAATGGTATAAAAATAAAATAAATAAACAAGTACACAAATAAATATTAAAAGGGGGAAGAAAAAGCAGAAATTATAAACACGTATTATACTATATCACTATGATGTAATTTTTTTACATTTTGAACAAAAATCTTTACTTTAAAAACTTTACTTTGCCTCTGTGATACTGCCTTATTTTAATACGCAATAATTCAAAAATGGATGGCAAAGGAAAAATGATATTCAATCATCTATAGATATATTTGAAAAATAGTGTTTCAGAGTCACCTGTTCGATTCTCTGCTGTGGTCCTTTATTTGCTATAGTTTGTTCCCGTCACAGTGAGAACATCTTAATCCACAAACGTTTGTCCACACACCTAACAGAAAAGGTGTTCTGCATTATCGTGACTTTCCCTAGAATGACGGTCAGGTTTCTTCATTTGCTCGCCTGTGCACGCGCAGCAGAGGAATTACGCAGGAGGAACTCGTCACGTGAGAATGCAGATTCTGTTTTGCCCTCTACCATGTTCTGAAGGAACTTTGTCCTCGTTAGACTTTCATCCCTTGTTGTACGTATGAACCGTATTTAGGGAAGTGGTCTCTGCTCCCTGAGCCAAGAGATGAAAGCTATGGTTCTGGAAGATTATGGTGTTTTAAGTTCGGGAAGGTCTGTCTTGTTCTGTGGAACTGATGCACTTTGAATTTCCGGAACTTGGATGAGAAAACTCTGTCTGCGTGTTTGTCCCAAAGCGTCACTGCGGAGCCTGCATCTCCAAGCAGAGCCCCCCCGCCCCCCCCCCGCCCTGCTTTTCCACTTAGAGCTGCAGGGTCGGGGCTGAGGGGGGTCTACTGTGGATGCCGACGTCCCGCCACCCGAGGGACTGTCAGATCTACACAAAGCACGGTGACTTGTGAGTATAAGGTAAAGCAGGGCCTGGTTTTTCACTTGATACAAAGAAAAACTACATTCCTACAGACTTGTCTGTGTCCTGGTCTGGAACGGCTTCTGTTTAAGGAGAACGAGACAAGAAGGACAAAGAGGCTGATTGCTCAGGACTGGAGACAATATGTTTAAGGAGTGTCTGGGGGGAACTCGCTGGGCTGTTCCAAGCCTCAGGATGGCACTAACAGACCTGTCCACAGTCCTATCGGCAATACCCCTGACATTGCTTGAACATCAGCTCTGAAAGAGACTTTCATTCAGAGTTGAAACTACTCGAAAATACAAAGTTTGTTAACTTTTGCTGGACATCTGTAAGAGTGGGAAGGAAATCAACTATGCGTCAGAGTCTTTTCTCGGACATCTGCACTGCCTGCCCAGCACCTGGGTTCACATGGGCAAAGGCAGTCAGTCTGTGGACTGAACTACCAGCTCCGCGCAAATGTGAATGGAAGGACTAGCGTGCCAGGCCCTCATGCCTGCCTTGACGCCAGTCTTCCAAGTGAGGTGCAGTATCTCTGAACTCGTACTGCATCGTCCTGCTGGTGGTAAGAGGGGTAGTCATAGACATTACCTGCTGAATGCCCAGAAATACAATCTAGAGAAGCCAGATCAGAGTACTGTCCACTGAGAAGGGATAAGGCAACGGCTACCTGCTGACCAGAACAGTCTAAGGCCAATTCCTGATAGAGGCCAGTGGGCGACTGCAGACGTGTTTTCTTAGCAGATGCTTCTGCTTCCTCTTGTGGTTTCAGGACTTCAACTCCAACAGTTGGGAGCTGCGTTTGCAAGACAGACATTGCTCCACCACTGGTTTGAGGGTATCAGCTAAAAGGAACCCACAGTGCTGGGATTAGGCACTTTGGGTTTCTTTTCATCTTGGGTGTCCAGAGTCTTGGGAAAGATTTCCATCCAAGTTTTCAGTAATCTTGAACTTCTAGTAATCATTCATTCATATTTACTCATAAATGCTCTGCCATATGTATAAAAACATGTTTGATCTCTGAAATTATTAGCATCTTAGGTTAAAAGACAACTTCTTAAAGACTGTAGAAATGGACTGTACTGTCAGGTTTTATCAATCCAATTATTATTGTTGTTATTATATTATTATTTTGGTTAATTCTTACCCGAAGGTATTTTTCCATTTATTTATTTATTTTAAGATAGAGTAGAAAGGAGGGAGGGTGGGAGGAAGAGAGAGAGATAGAGAGAGAGAAACATCTATGTGAGCGAGACACATCGATTGATTGCTTCCTGCATAAGCCCAACCACGACCAGAGATTGAATCCAGGTATGTGCCCTTGACTGGGAATCAAACCGGAGACCCTTGGGTCTGAGGGCCAGTGCTCTAACTGCTGAGCCAAACCAGCCATGGCTATCAAACCAATTTTGTCCTGCTATTGCCAGGAAGCCCTGTTTTCTGAAGGATTCATAAACTCAAGAGTAGTTTCCTGGGCTTTGGGTTTATACAATCTAGTCGAGGGACTGTAGGCGGATTCTGCAGGGACACTGCTGAATCAGTAACGTGTCACATTCTTTCTCCTTTCTCAGGGGCAATCTCCAGGCATCCCTATCCTATTGCTCAGGGCAAAGGTGACTGTGTTTTCTGTTACACTACAACTACAGGAAAGAACCCCTTTTAGTATATATATTTATTACATACTTACGATAAAGAAGCAAAATGACCAAAGGCCACTATTTTTCCTCCTCTTTCGAAAAATAAATGATATCACATATGTCAAAAAGACGAGAGAAGCTGCATAACCAATCGTAATTACAACCTAAAGATAATATGAATAATATCAAAGTCAAAACATAAGATATTAGTGGAGGGAAATTTTACATTGGAAGCATTTTTAAATATCTTATTGAATATTCACTTTGAATTTTTTTTGTCTTAGTTTAAGACAAAATAAAAATGAAAATGTCTTGATTATATAAAACACAAATGTAAAAATCTGTCATGAATTGCCTTATAAGACAATCTCTACATAATGTTTTACTTACCAGAGCAAACAAAATTCGACTTGTGATATAAACTTCCACTATGTTTATTAAGTAGATGATTAATAACATTGCCAGGAGTAGGAAAGCGAAGAGGCTGACATCCACCAGGGCCTGCCCAAACCAGTAGGCCGAAGGGTAGAGGCCTGAAATCCACAGCTGGGCCTTAGCTCTCCTCTGACAAAAAACACAGGATACACATAGACCCAATTAAAATCCAAATCCGAAACAAAAGCATTGGGAGATAGGTTAAATAGACTCGAATCTAATAATTTTAATTCTTCTAATAATTTTAATTATGCATATACTGTTTAATGGCATTTAGCTCATTGCATTAAGGTGACCATTTTAAAAATGAGTATGTTTTCATTGTATAGGTTTGATTCCCAACACCATCTCAACTTACGCATAATAAATAGAAAAGCAGATTTCATAATGATCAAGGGATAAATCTCCTTCAAAAGAAATATTATTTTATGACCCGAAGAAAAATAAGTTCTCCATTATCCAGATATGCTTTGGGAGAGTTACTGGCTCAGAATGGGGAAGGATGAGTCATCTAAATCTTCTACTCTTTGACTTGAATAATGGACATAACCAAACACAAATATAACAAACAACTGTATTCCCCACAGCAAAAAGGGAAGGGGATTCGGGTCTTAAATCTGGTCTTCAATTTCAATATCAATGATTTCTTCTTTGTAGTTAAGAAATAATATAGTCAAATGTTTTATAATAGTCCCCTTTGAAGGCTCGGATTAACCCGAATCCCTATAAATCACTGTACATTTCCTTTAATTTTGAAATAAAAAGTATTTTGTGCTTTTTTTTAAATTTATTTTTTTATCAATATATTTTTTAAATTTTTGTTACAGATGCTTCTCATTTTTCCCCACTGACATCCTCCCCCCCATCCCCCGCCCCATCCCCAGCTTTGTTGTCTGTGTTCATTGGTCATGCATATACGCATGTACGTCCTGTGGTTTCTCTCCTCCGGCCTCAACCTCCCTCCTCTGTGGCTTGTGCTTTCAGAAGTAAATGTCTGACTTGATAGAAATCGTGCTTCACTACATGGTCTAAATTAAACGTATGCCTAAATGCTTTCCTCACAGGATTGTCATTTTGAACACACAGCATTTACAACGCAGTTACTGAGGTCCCTGAAGTCTGTCTTTCCTCTGCCCTGTTCTTACCCTATAATCGCTGATGCTGCCCATGGCGATGTAGGGAGAAATGCTGCACATGGTGAAAAACAGGAAAACAGAGCCGTCCGGCAGCCCCGTCCAGGTCAACACGTAGTTCTGCAAATGCAAAAGGCATTGAAGCTAGTGAATATTTTAAAAAATTAAACAAATACTAATAACCAAAAAGTGGTTAAAAGGTAAGGACAAAATTAATTGTTTAGGGTTAACAATCAACGATAAATATTTAAGGGCTAAAGAAGGAACACAGGTGTCTTGGCAAATTCCTAATTGTTCAGAAGGAGCAAATCCAATACTTACTAAAGGAAATGGGCTTCTCCCGATGCGAATCTGCTGTGTGTGGTTAAGCATTCGAAGCAGACCGTTGCTGAGAATGTTCATAAGAATAGGGAAACAGTGCAGTCTCTTGGTATTGCACACAACTGAAAACCTATAATCCTTCAAATAAAGACAAATGAAATGTTAATTCTGAATAACTAAAGAACAAAGATTTTAGGGAACATCATGAACAAAATAAGCTGTTGACCAAAAGAGATCCAGAGACATGGAAGTAGGGAACAGACTGACGAACCTCAGAGGGATGCAGGGTGGGAGGAGTGGAAAGAGATAAACCAAAGAACGTATATGCCCATAGGCACAGCCAATCACCAAGGACATCAGGCTGGGGAAGGCAGGAGAGGGGTGGGAGTGGGGAATAGGGGTCAATGAGGAGAAAAAGGGGGCATCTGTAATACTTTCAACAATAAAAAATAAAGAAAGAAAATAAAGAAAGAACAAAGAAAAAGGTCAAATGTAACAGTGCCATATTCTAGCTGCGTGGCCCTCTTCAAGTTGACTGACGTCTCTGAGCAGCAGCATCCTCATCTGGGAAGGGTATATATAATAAATGGGTCCTCGTACAATTTCAGTGGGATAATGTGTATTAGATCCTAGCACAGTCAGCAATATGAATTTTTATCAGTATTACTAACTTTGGATGAAGTTGTCCTTACTTTGCTGACCAGGACATTTCAGCTGATGGGAGGTACAAGCGGCCCTGCCGAGGAAACTGTTTCCGTTTGCAGGGAGCAAGCAAAGGAGCCCTGTTCTGGACAGGAAACAGGCATGGGATTCATATAATATTCATGACTACACTGCCAGCAAAGCACTTTCCAGGACAGTTTCTAGGACAATGTGTATGTTCTTCAGGTTTATGACAATGTTCCTACATTATCAAGGGGTTCGATATTGTGTAAATGTTACCAAGAGTTCATGTAATAAACAGGCTGGATAAGTCACGGGTAAAGCAACTGCCTGGCGATGTAGTTCCCCACCCTGAGATGACACTGAGTGTGACGCACTTAGTTTAGGTAGAAGTGAATTCAGTGTTACCTCTTCTCCCCTTGTGGCAGGAAACAAAGAGGGAGCTTCACATAATTTGACTCCAGTTTTCATTAGAATGTAAGTAAGACTCAGAGTTGACTTATGATTATGAGGTATTTCCAATAGTCTCGTTCCTGGAAGGATCTCTATTGCTTGCACTCTTTACCCAAATTGAAACATGTCAAGATAGTAGGCAGAAAAAACTTTCCTCAGAGATTGCAATGGCTATAAGAGTATCTAATGTATTTTCTCAACATATAAAAAGCCTGTTTGGGTAGTTAGCCATTGAATAGAATCCCTTAAATTAATAATTATCTTGGTTGGTAACCATAAGTTCTAATATTTTAATAAGTTTGAATAATGCAATTATATCCAGCTACTCTGAAATATTAAAAAAAAAACAATCATCTAATTCCAACGTTAAGATAAAAAATGTTTTACAAAAACTTACTTAAACTTCACAAATGATTTAACAACGACCCAAAACGTTTTGAGTCAAGTTGCTGTACACTAGCTAGGTTGACTTTCCACAGTTTTCAAGACAGTTAAAATACAGCACTCGATCAATTTTTTTCATAAAAACAAACACGAGACGCAAGAGGCAAACATACCTTCTGTTTACCAGACACTACGATGACTCCATTGTATGACAGATCATCAGAGCTATTTCTATTTTTAAAGTCATCTATTTCCAACAGTATATTTTGATGCTTCAGGGACTGTATGAAATCTTCAATATTTGATCCTGGTATTAAATTAGTAACAGAAGACCATATAAAGTAACAACATATATGTCAATTTTTAAAAATAAACCATATACACAATTTAGATTTATGTTATGTGAAGACATGACTCTTTAGGCATCACAATAATAATATTGTCCCATGAAAGAGAATCCATTCTACCATCTTCTACAGTGATACCTCGGTTCTCGAACATAATTCGTTCCAGGAGGACGGTCGAGAACCGAATTGTTCGAGAACCGAAGCAATGAAACCCAATAGGAAAGCGTGACTCCACAAAGCGTGACTCTCTCTCTGCACTCACACTGATGACGCGAGCAAGGCGCGCTGGGCCGAATGAACGCCATTCGGCTCAACTCGGCTCATCTCGGAAGTTCGAGTTCCAAATATTTGTTCGGATTCCAAGACAAAAGTTTCTCGAATCTCCTGGTCGAATACCGATTTGGTCGAAAACCGAGGCGTTCGAGAACCGAGGTATCACTGTATTTATCAAATCTTACACTGTGATGAGTTAGCTTTATAATTCTATTTAATGAAGTTAACGTGTGACTAGTAACACAATATAATTCTATTTTATGACCCTTGGTTTAAAAAAATATACTTGAATTCAATAGTTTGTGGAAATACAATAATTATATGAAGAATACTTCTAACTGGTTAGCCTAAAATGCCCAATAATAGCTCTTCCCTCGCTCCCTTATTTTCCAAATAACAGAAAAGTAAATATATGTAGGTGTATATATGAAGGTATTTTAACACATAAATGTAGTTTACTTATCCCCATATATATTACATACATATATTTTTTCGTTAGGAGGTGAGAAATGAAGAGTGCCACTATCAGACCATAGTTGTTGTTAGGGTTCTAACTAAGAAAACAGAAAGAAGAGCTGAGAAAAACCCACAGTCTCTAGCATACAGGAGCCAACAACTATAAAGAAAAAACCAATTTCCAGGGTATCTAATTCAGAGCAGACAAATTCAAGGGGCAAAGTAGGCTCTGAAGCCAGAGTCAGGCTCATTAATGGGTTGACCACACCCAGAACAAGATGACCACAGGCTCCCTCCTCTGCTCCACAGAGCAGGAGGCAGCTGTACTTGTCCTCAGAATACAAGTCCCCAAATCTACTTTCTCCAAGACATTATCTGGGAGAAACAACAGTCTACAGAAACTCCAGGCAATGAAAAGACAGAATGGAATGAAGAAAGGAAAAGGAAGGACTGTCGTTTTTGGCTCATTTGGTCTTTGAAGTGGGAGTTGGGGACAGATGGGGTTTGGGCATCAGGAAAATAGGGCCAAGCCCCAGATGAGTTAGGATTCCCACTGGGTAGGAAAGGGCACCCGCACAGGAAATAAGTCTCCTTGCATCTTAGGGCAGCCACACTGAGGGAGACAGACAGGGCTGCTCCGATGACAAGATGAACCTCGTCCCAGCAATCGTGAATTTTTGAGAGATAAAGGAACAAGATGGCATGGCAGCTCCCAACTCAGCTAACTGAGCAGAGGGAAGAGAAAGGAAGGAAGTGAAGGCCCTAGATTGTTCTCAGAGACACTGGAGAGGGAAACCCATGCAGGAGACAGCAACAGGTTGAAAGGTAAAGAAATGATTCTAGGTCTTGGAAATCAAATACACAATTAGCAGGCCTTCCTTTTCCTTTTTTCATTCCATTCTGTCTTTTCATTACCTTTAAGGTAGTAGAATGAATAAAATTTACTTTCTAAAACTCAAATGGAAACCAACAAGAATGAGAAATAAAGACCACTTGTGTTTAAAGAGGAAACATCTGTAATCTTGAGTCACAAGTGGATATGCAGTGGGCAGAGGAACTCTTCAAAGGAACTCCCACTCTGAATAGATTATGTTAACATTTTAGAAAAAAAAACCTTCTTCTGCAAAGTTAAATGAAAAGTTAAATGAGCAGTAGATGTAAGCAGGGAGACAACAAGTACCCATTACTGAGGCTAACAGGAGCACAAATACCAAATTGTTAAGGAATCTTCCTCGATCCTATTGAATCTCTACATGTCAATCCATGTGTATAATAATTAAGGGAGAGGTTGGGCTGCTGCAACAAAGAGATCTCAGAATTGAGTGGTTCAATCAAGATAGAAGTTTGTCTCTTACACTGTCGATTGGGGTCCTCAGACAGAGAAGCAGCCCTCCTCTACCAGGTTAAGTAGTGGTCCAGGATCCTTGTCTTGTCCCCTCATCCCAGCCCCTCTATACTCAGAGAAAATGTACACAGTTCCTCAGAAATTGCTTGCTATTCAAAAAGTCTAAACACACACTTTCTTCTCTTATGATTTGCTCTCTCCGCCTCTACATAGAAATAACTTATTTCTGGATTTAAATTTTGTGTTTCTGTTCACCTGTGTTATTGATGATCAATAGGCTGGTAAGAGGGTCTCGGGGAAGTTGTCCAGGGGAGAGGAAATACAGTTCAGGTTTAAATTCCCAATCACTCTTTTCGACTAACACAGCTTCAACAATCAGTTCCACAGTCATTGGGAACAGTGCAATCCCAAATACCAACAGTCTACCAATAGAGAAAAAAATTACCACATGAATCTGAAGGAATTGTATTTATTCAGTCAGGCATTTCACAAATATTTGTAGTATAGCAACTTGACTCTATGCCAGCCATAATGATAAGTGCTAAAATTTTGGAAGTCATACCTTAGATGCTCCACAGTACAAGAAGACATTGCTATATCAACACCAAGCAATCAAACAATGACAACTAAACAGACCTGTGGATAAGGCTAATCAAGTGTTAACCTACAGATATTCCCACTGAATACTTATAAAACCAAATGCTGCATTTATCTATCTATCCTCTGGCAGGAATGTTGGGTGTTCTGTTCTAGTTTTACATTTTATTCTGGTTTAGCCTTTCCTTGAAACTCACTGTCCAGTAGAATCACAGTATTCTGACACTCACAGGGTCCACAGTGCGTTCTTCCCATGTTTTAGCTTTAAGAAAGAGAGCCGGGCTATTGCACAGAGCTGCATTCTCCAGAGCTCCCAGTCACTCACAGTCTTCTGAATTTCAGGAAGAGACGAGTAAGCTGGATCCATCTCACGTAGGTTTTCTGGGTCTCTCCTCATCTCTACTTGTTCAAAATAAACACACATGTGTGCACACACACCCGCACACAGAAGTTATTAATGTCATTCCTGGGTCATCACAGATTTCTCTTGTTAGAGAAACATTGTTTTGCGATGTTTATGGTTACAAAACAAACAAGGTAAGCAACAAATTATGTTCATCATGTCCACCTTCCATAACCTCAATGATAAAATATTCTGGATTCATACCAAAAAAAGAATTCAGTAAAGGGTGATCTCATTATGCCCAGTCTTTCAAAAGGCCCAGGAGGTCCGATACGTAACAATATTCTGAGGAACTTCAAGAAGTCTTCTCCACAGAAAGAGCCAATCCTTGATGTCTAAATGTCTACTGTTAAGGTATCAATAACTTAGAAGTCTAGGTGAGAGACGACCAGCTCTGAAACCACAAGACCTGTATGTGATTTTCAAATATCTGATTTACAAGTGGTATAATTTGGGGAAAATCACTTAACTGCTCTGAGGTCTGATTGTCTCATGTGTAAAATGGTTCCAGTTTCACTTGTTGGATTGGTTATTGCAGGAGAGCAATGCAATGCAGCCACCCAATGATCAAAGTGTCTGGCATACGCCCTCCCTAAATGACAGCTCTTACTGTGATCACCCATTAAAATACACAAAAGATGATTCTAAGCCTTTCCCCCGCGCGACCTTAGTGGAATTTTATACATGAACAAGCTGAGTGCAATTTTTATACAAAATATCTGCTCAGCCTTCATGAGCATGATTGAGAGCATTTCACATCCTCAAAGTATCCAAGAAACAGGGTGCATCTGGGGATAGAAGAAAACTGCCCAGAGAAGAAGTCAATAGTTCCGAATGTACATTTGGTTTATTCCAAGAGGGGTCTGTGTTCAGTCCTAGTAATGATGTTATAAAACAATGACTGCCCTTCCGAAACAGCAATGTCAAATTTGGAATGAGTAACATTCTTTAGTGTGAATCAGCTATAAGACATTATAAAATACTAAATTTGTATATGATCACTTGGGAATTGATTTTATATGAATTATACAAGTGAATTTACCTGGCTCAATAGGTGATATTTCTTCCACTTTCATGAAGACTTCATTCAGAGTTGACACAGAAATATCATAACTCATCACACCTTGGCCAGAATCCTTATCAAGATCACTGAAAAGGTCTAAGGTAACAGATAGGAATAGATGCATGTGAAATACCACATCAGTAACTAAACCTAGTAAATTAACACATTTAAAAGATGATGCAGAATATTGTTCATAAACTGTATATTTTTGCAATATCATAGTAAGCACAAGCAAACTTTCACTGGGGTGCTCTCCCCTTCTGAAATTAATATGTCAGACCTTCACTTCTATCCACAAACTGTCTGCATGTCTGCACTTTGTCTTATTCTCAGCTCATGAACTTCCTGCAAATGTCTTTGAGGAAATATAAGCCATCAGAGAGAGCATCATCTTCTATCCTCTGCATCACTCTGGGTCTGTATAGGTAGAAGACTTTTAGCTGCTCCCACCAAAGGCTACCTTTTGACTTGTGTTCTAAATTCCAACCCCTTTGGACATCTCAGGGACTTTCCCCAAATTATCTGTTCTCTCTGTCTCTCCTTTCTTCCTCCCTCGCCATCCTGACTTATCAACTTTTTCTACATGTACTGGGTCATGTAAGGTTGGCCATTAAAAAAAGGCAAGCAAAAAAATAAATCGATAAATATCTTCCCCCTACACACACACACACACACACACACACACACACGGCTCAAACATATGTATACTTTGTTTCATTTAATTTATCACATTTTATTCAACCTAACCCCCACAAATCCAAATGCTATTCCCTGTCCTTCCACAGAGAGACATCGATGTGAGAGAGACACATCAATTGGCTGCCTCCTGCAAGACCGCAGCCAGGGTTGGGGACCAACTGACCCACAACTGAGGTACGTGCCCTTGACCAGAATCAAATCCACAACTCTTTGGTCCATGGACCAACACTCCAACCACTGAGCCAAACTGGCCAGAGCAATTTCACATTTTTTTTTATCCTCACCCAAGGACATTTTTCGATATTTTGTTCAGATAGAGTAGGAGAGATACAGAGAGAGAGAAACATTGACATGAAAGGGACACATCGAGTGGTTGCCACCAACACCACCCAACCAGTGCCGGGGACAAATTGCAAGGGAGGTACGTGCCCTTAGCTGGAACCAAACCCGGGTCTCTCTGGACCACAGGCCGACGCTCTAACTGCTGAGCCAAACCAGCCAGGGCCGATTTCACATTTTTTAATTCAATTGTCAATGCTTTTTGTTTGTTTTTATTCCTTAAACTGGTCTTTCTCTCTCAAAAAAACAAAACAAAACAAAAAAACTCAGACATTCAAAGCTGTTGAATATTCCCTCCTTCTAGAAACATTTTCTCCCTTGAGTTAATACGAACATATTCTCCTGTTTTTGTCTTCAACTTCCCCGAGGGCTCTTGATTCCCAACACCCTCTGACTCCTCCTCTGCTGTCTCCTGAAGGCTCAGTCCTAGACCACTTTCCATTTCCGGCACTCTGATACCATCTCTTTGCGTTAACTCCATCTGTATCCAGTGATCCCCAAATCCAATTCTCACTTCCTTCTCTGACTTCCAAAATCTTAAACCAACTAGATGTTTGGCCACTTGACAGCTCCACTTGGGAGCCTAAAAGCATCTCAAAGTAAACATTTCCAAAAGAGAACATTAAGTTACCTTTCTCCATTTTACCCAACTGCCCCTCCCATCATTTTACAGTAAATGTCATCACCTTCCACCCAGTGACTCAAACCGAAATTCTCTAGGTCCCTCTTGACCACGTTTCCTTGTGCTCCACAGACTGGCCATCAGCTAGATTCTTTGGCTTTATCCACAAATATGTTTCAAATCCCCCCACTTCCATCCACCTTTCTACTGGTGCCATGGTAGCCCAATGACCATCACCATCATCTGTCACTGATCCCTCTGACATGGTCAGATGGTTGGTCTCCCAGTGTCCATTCTTATTCCTCTAGAACCTGAGTGATCTTTTATATCCAGAGAATGAAAATACAAGTCACATCACATCAATCCCCTCTATAATGACTTTCAGTACTTTCTCAGCACATCCATAAAATCCAAAGACCATGTCACAGCTTCTGAAGCTTTATACGAGAGAGTCTCTATCTATTCCTACTCTTACCCATCCCCACTGGCCCCTCTACTTCCTCACTCACTGAACTCCAGACACCCCTTTTCCCCCGGTGCTTGGAGTACTTTGAACCATTTTCTTCTTGCGGCATTCTGACACTTTGTGCAAACCACAACCTGACATCAGTCATCTCTCTGATCCATAGGCCTTGTTTGTTAGTTTATGATACAGCTATACATAGTTTGGTTTATTGTGTGTTTGCACATCTCTCACCCAATGGAATGTAGGTTCTAGGAGGGTAGGACCTTGTAAGTCTTATATATTCCTGTACCCTTAGCATCTTGAGCAGTACCTTTTATATAATACATTCCCAATAAACATTTATTGTGTAATATTCCATGATGGATACTTGGAGAAGCCGCTATATTGGACAGGGTGGTGGTCCAGCAAGGTCACTGCGAGGAGCTGGATGAGTACTGAGGTTACAGAAGCACTGTGTCTCCTCATGTCTGCACATGGCCTGCAACGGACTGTCCTGCTGGGACACAGTACGCCCCTGGCCTTGCAGAGGCCTGGGATTTCCCTGAGGAGGCTCTGCAGTGTGCTAAGCTCATGTTGAGCACAAGCCATATAAGTCAGAAAATGAATGTTTCTGGACACATCTCTTAACCAAGGATGGTTAGGAAGTAGCAAATAAACACCCCAGCTTTCTCACCCCTCTGGTGACGTAATTCTGAGCCCCGGCTCGATAATTCAAACTTCCCCAGCTTCTTTCTCTTCCCTCTCTCATGTTCCCAGTTCCTCCTGGTGCTTCTAGGCATAAGTTACCTAACAAATTGCACTAAAATCCTCACCTCAAGTTCTGCTTCTTAGGAAACGCATCCTAAAATGAAATCCAAGTCCACTACACAAGAAAAGTTGTAAAAATAATGTAAACACTTGTTCCCAACTTTAATTCCATTGTAATCATATTTAAGTTACCTGGAAATGTATTTGTCCTTTCCATAGGCAAAGTGTACACCAGCTTTTCTTTGCTTTCTGTTTTTAATTTAGCATCGGGGATGTGATGATTGATGAGGGATGTTATTTTTTCTGGATCACATGTTTCATTTCTGTACAAACTAATGTTTAAAAGAAAAGACAATACACTTGTGTTTTCTCCAGGGCTATCACAAAAGAGGAGCTTTCTACTGAATATCTAGCCTTTGAGTACTACTTTACTTGGCTTTAGGGAGCAAACAAAATGAGCTAATAATTAATGATAATAATAATAATGCCATCAGTTTGAAAAATCTTCTGGTCTATACAGAGAAGGTGTATAAACTCAGAACAACTACAAATATACAAATACATGATGGGATTGAAACTTGATATATACCAAGTAGAAAGACAAATAGAAGGAGGTGAGAACATTCAACAGAAGAGACTTCTTAGGGAAAATCGTTATTACACCAGACTGTGTAGATATCAGAAATTAGTGGCTATTAGAAAAATCTGGCCGAATGGCATGCTTCATTTGTCCAGAGAGTTTTTGTTTTAATTCTTTGCCTGGACACACTTCTTGTTAGACAGAGCCCTCTTTACTCTCTGCCCCCCGATTTACTCCCATTTTTGATACTAGCTTCTGAAATTATTTGATCTTGTACCCTATGGAAGAAGGAAACTATGCCACAGGGTTGCATGGACCAGCTGAGGAAAACGGAGGGGAGTCCATGGAGCAGCCCTGCTATGACCTATAAGTCTGGGCTGATAATTCTGAAATTTTGCTCATCACAATGGGATGCAGGAAAAACAATGGCCCAGAGCTAATCATAAGGCCCAATCTCTCTCACAATTATCTACCTTTTTGATAAACCAGTATTGAAAATACGGATATAGATATATCCAATTTATCCCCAAATTCTTTACCTTAAGTGATATCCAAGACCCCATTTTCTCCTCAAAAAGACAGAAGAGCCTGCACACATCAATCTCCCATTGGACATGATCACTTTTCTATCTGAGTAAAGAGGAGCAAGAGGAAAAGGACAATAGGAGTCATTTCTTCCCTCTCTAGAAAATACAAATGAAGAGTCAATGCTCAGATTTCCATAGAAGCGTTCTATGGGCATTGCCATTTCTACTATCTGTTAAAAATTTTGAAATACACATTAAAATGGATACACTTAAAGAGAGCTTATGAGTTCCAGTTCACTTTAGTGTCCTTCAAAATGTAAATTAAAAAAAAAAAAAACAGAAATTACTTGGGTGCATTTTCCATTCTGAACGGGATGCTAAAGGATGCATGAATATTTTCAACCAAATATATATTAAAGAATAATTGAATGTTTACATTCATTGAGAGCTGATCTGGGGGGGGGGGATCACAATTTTTTATTAGTGGTCAAAATCTCACGACCACGCAGTAGAGGAATTCTACAGAGGGACTAGCGGGCTCCTGTCATCCCCAGACGGCTGTGCTAGTAGCACCCCGAGGCAACGAGAGCAGGGCTGTGGCCCTGGAAATAAATATTGCTCAAATTCATTATTGTAGCACGAAGAGAAAATCAACAGTCACCAGCCAGGACGTCAGCCTCATCTATGACATTGGTACTCAAGAGGATCACACGGTCTGCTTTGCGCTCCTTGAGGAAGCTCCACACTCGCTGCCTTGAAAAGGGATCCAATCCAGCCATTGGCTCATCTAATAGCAAAACCTACAGAGGATGATGACAGGTGAGATATGTCTCTCTCCCAAGTTAACGATTTCCTGATGATAGCATGGAAAGCAATAAAAACCAAAAAATATTAACTATCCAACCATTTATGTCTGATATACTTGTAGTCATAGTTGAACAGAGCAGATTCTCTCCTGGTACATAATAATGGAAACTCTACTATTTTTAGTGGTAAAAGAAGAGCTTGGCTTTTTATTGATATTCCATCTGCATTCCTCCACGGGCATGATGGCACTTACCTGAGGATCTCCTAAAATGGCAATTCCAAAGGTCAGCTTTCTTTTCTGTCCTTCACTTAAATGTTTAGCAAGGTTATCCTGAATGTTTTGTATGTCCAACTCCAATAAAATCCTTTGTACCTGTAGAAGAAAATATGCAAAGCTTAAAATCCAAGATAATTCATATTATGCAGTTTTAACTGTTCCTTACACATCAGTAGATATTTTATATAGAACCTCAATGTCTAAAGTCTATTCATAACTAGAGAGGTCATTCACTAAGGGGAATTCTGTGGTCATGATTTAATTTGACAAATGGTTGGCAGTTTAATTAATCCAAGCATGCCCATCTACCTCTTGATCGACTTCCTGTGGCTGAATCCCTTTAATTTTAGCAAACAGCCTGAGGTTTTCCTTCACAGTAAGTGTGTCAAATTGAACATTGAATTGAGGACAAACACCAGTTTTCTTTCTGATTTCCTCCAAGTGTTGCATTTCAGAGAGATTTTTATTGTAGATGGTAACTGATCCTAAGAAAAGAAGTGAAAGATAATTTAACATTGACAAGATAATACATTTTGTTGAAGCTTTGGAGATCTTATACGTGAAAATATTTGCATATATACATAAACATCTAAAATGATGACTTCATATTTAATAACAACTATTAATCATTCTTAACATAAGCTTATGCTTAGAGTAGCATATATTCCCCCTGTAACATAATGTATCAATGAAATAAAGATAATTTTCATAAAAATGGGGGAAATATATTCAAAATCATATAGTTCTGATAAATACTTTTAGATAAACAAACATTATTTTCTCTTAAGGTATCAAATATAAAGCCTGAAATGAGAAAGGTGACATATGACCTCATTCTATGATCAGACATCTTGCCTTTGAGGAATTTCTTTTTGCTCACCTTCTGTTGGAACCGACAACCCATTAAGGATGTTTAGCAAAGAAGATTTGCCAGCTCCGCTATGACCCAGAATTGCTGTGATTTGACCTTCATATATGTCAAACAGCAAGCCTGTTGTTAAAATAAAATATCAACATCTCAGAGGGCATTAGGAAAGGCTGGTTCTAAAGACAAAATAAAAGCTATATACATTCACATGCTCATATGTGCACATTTATAGACACTGGAAGTAAGTGTAGTGTTTATATTTGGAATTAGAGTTCATTTTATCTTCTCACTCCAGACAAGAGGTAGTCCTTGCAGAAGTTGAAGATGTGTAGACCTAAAAAGTTTATGGTTATTGATGAGTGCGAAAGTAGCTAACTATGTGCTCTGGGCATTGAAATAATAAAATTTTAAAAATACCTCAACATATCCTTGGCTGAAATGAAAAAAAGAAACCACAGATCTACATAGTGTTTGATGAGGAAAACCTGATAAAGGGAGAATAAACTTGCTCATACAAGTACATTAAATTCTGAAAGAAAGCTCTAATCTCAGAGCAATAAGCAAGACCTTGAGTTAAGGGGTGCTGCATTCACTGGAAAAGGAACACAATGAAAACACAAAGGACAGAACTCTTAACTTTCAAGAGGATCTATGGCTTACTTAAATATTTGTTATAGAAAACTGTATTTGTTAGAATATTTAGCATCATATATGTTGGCTCATTCAAAACACTAAACTACGTGCGTCATAGAATACTGACTCAAGAAATTTAATTTATGGTCAATGGTGTTATTCATTTTGTTTTAGTTCATCTCACCAGCACATGTAAATTATGTGATTTTTCTGGCTAGTACAAAAAGTTTATCAATTTTACATCTAAATGTTCTTTCCTCATAGTACAAATAAAATAAAATATTCCTCATTGAAAATTCATCCCAAAAAACAAAATGAAATTGCAATTTTTATTGTATGATCCCATTTCTGTAGATTAACAGATCCACAAAACATCCAGAAGAATTTTACCCTCAGCCCTTAATCATGGCTAATTGCCACATGGTGGAATTAGAGTGTACACATTTTTCCTTTCTCTTTCTATTTTACTTATCTATACTTTCTAATTTCCCACAAGAAACTGTCCCCAGGTTTTGAAATAAAGAATTCAATTAAACGATAAAATGTTTCCTTTACCTTTCAATGCTTCCACCTTTCTAGACTTTTCCTTATATTCTTTTTTAACATTTCTGATTCTGAAATGACAAAAGGGGTGCTTATTTAGACATCACAGAAATAAAAATGATACAGATCATGAACAACCCTAGATGGATGCAGTCAACCACTTTCTGTGAAATAAGGAAGACGAAGGCCTTGTTTGAGAAATCATTTCCCCTGAAATAGGGAAAAAAAAGTCTTTTTCGAAATTTAAAATTGAACAACTAGTGTTTTGCTTAGAGAAGTAGAGCACTCTGTAATTATCCTCACTTTCTCCCTTTCGTCTTAGAACACTGGGTGTTTTCTCCCCCTTGTCAAGATTTAGTGCATTTATATGCATTCTATAACCATCGCCTCCCAAACCTGTGTCATCTGAATTCTCCACTCTCATAGCTCCTTTTTGGCCAGTACATCTGCATTAGATATGATCAAATTACTTTCTCCCCTAATCTTAAAAAATTCTCAAAATAGAAGTGTAGGCTTGACGTGCATCCTCACTTCTCACTTCCTCCTCAGTCACTGGCACTCTGGCTTCTGAACCCAGGACACTGGTGAACCTCGTCATACTGAAATCATTAGTGGTCTCCGAATCACCAAGTAAACAAAAACTTTTCCATCCTTACTTATTTGCTTATGAGTCATCACTCATGACTTTCTCCGTGTTAAAAATGTCTACTTTCAAGGAGACATTCCACTTTATTGGTTTTCTTCCTACTTTTTATTTTTTTCCCCCTCACCTGAGGACAGTTTTGCATTTATCTTCAGATAGAGCAAGAGGGAGAGAGAGAAACATCGATGTGAGAGTGACACATCGAGTGGTTGCCACCCTCACGACCCCAACTGGGGTCGGGGACAAACTTCAACTGTGGTATATGCCTTTAGCGGAAACTGAACCCAGGACTCTCTGGTCCGCAGGCCAACGCTCTATCGGCTGAGCCAAACTGGCCAGGACTATTTTTTCTATATATAAATATAAAGGTTCTCTTTATAAGGGTCTCTTCTTTAAACCAACACATCATCTTAGTGCTCCACAGTGTTCTTATGTATGTTACAGTTCATCTCAATCCTGACCCTGTCGATGTGTTACCTCATTGGTTCTCATGGTTTCAACACCAACGTAATGTTGAACCCATTTTTGGCCCTGAGATTTAGGTGGCTCACATATTGAAATATTTGCTGGATTTCTTCATACAACTATCACACACACACACACACACACACACACACACACCCCTCCAGTGGTTGTCAACCTTGAATGCACCTTGAAATTCCAAAGGGAACTGCCTTGATCCACATATTAGTATACATGTAATTAATTACCTGATAGCCTCCTTTCCTTGGAATTCTGGAGCTATTGGTTCAAAATAATCATCAGAGGGATGCTCAGGATCTGTTTCTTTCTCAATGATTCGATTATCAGCCCTTTGGTGTTGGAAACAAGATGATGAGTTCAGGAAGAATAATGGAGAATAACGACGCTCATTTCCATCTAATTAATCAAGAGGTGATAAAATATTGGATCAGTAACATTAAACCAATGAGCAAAGAATTCTTGTTCAGAATAGTGCAGAATGTCTTAGACTTTTAAGCATCATAGAGAAATTCTTTTCCAACTTCCTATTACTGAGCATATTATCAAGAAAACTTGATAATTAAGTAAGAAATAAAAATTCAAAGGAAGTAACACATTATCACAAAAATTAACCAATAGAACTTTCAATAAAGCATAAATCAAAGGTTTGAATGAAATGTGATCTAAAAGGTATTTGGAACAATGAATAAAAACAAATATTTAGAGGAAAAGCCTTAATATGCCATACAATTAATTCTAAACATATTTGTGAATTTAATCATTTGACCACAGCAATACAACTGAACATAATATTGAAATCTACATGGTACATGAGTTAAAAGTACATGGAGCAATTATATCTGTTCAGGGTGAATATAGGGTCCCTTTCTAGATTTAAAAAATAACAAAGTAGTATTTGCTATTAAGAGCCTTCAAGATATAAACCAAAAGTGATAGAAAGACAGGTCTACATAGAAACAACCTTAACTATAGTCAAAGTGGAAGGAACATAAAAAAATAAGAAGATAAATAAATAAGAAGACAGTGCAAGGGGAAAAGCATTCTGATTCCAGTGTATATGTAGGAATTCTGGGCATATGTAAAATTTTGGGTTGTTTGTGAGATGAAGGAAATCTAACGGGGCAATATGCTTCTATAAACATGAACAGTATAAGAAAACTTTTCAGAATGATTCTGAAATGGTCTCTCTAATTGTCATTTTGTGATTTCCTAAAAGGATGGCCATCTCCTTTCTGAAATGGTCCTCCCACAGATGGGAGGGAGGAAGGCAATGATTAGTTCAGGTCCTTACTAGTTGTATTTTGTTTACAATCTGTCCCATATTCATTGTAAGAAAAACAAATATTTACTAGAAAGCACTTTCACTGTATAAGCAAAAACCATCTTAAGAACTAAGTTATTTCAGCTTGTTCTGATACAAATCCTAAATATCATTCTTTGAAAACACTTTCAGGGATTCTTAAAAAAATGTAACATTATATAATGCTATATAATTATAGTATGTATTAAAATGATCGTTGTTGTCTGTTTATAGTGTATATTATTAAAGTCAGAAGAATGATTGTACATAGATATTTTTTCAGACAATTAAAACCATGAAGTAGAGCCCAGCTGCTGTGGCTCAGTGGTTGAGCATCGACCCACGCACCAAGAGGTCACTGGTTCAATTCCTGGTCAGGGCACATGACCAGGTTGTGGGCCTAATTCCCAGTGGGGGGCATGCAGGAGGCGGCCAGTCAATGTTCTCTCTCATCAATGTCTCTATCTCTCTCTCCCTCTCCCTTTCTCTCTCTCTCTAAAATCAATAAAGAAAAAAAATTTAAAAAAATAAATAAAACCATAAAGTAGAACAAAGAACTCATTCAGCCTGTGATGGGAAATGCTTATTATTCATCATTTCTTAAACTATATTTATAGAACCTTAAGAAAAAACTCTTAAATATGATCAACATTTGTAGAGATCAGAGAAAAATCCACTTTACTTACAGGGTAAGAGTTTGTCAAAGTATAATGCCAATACCAAGTACATAAAAGCATCAAATGCCAATATGAAAAAAGTTGCTATCATTATATATGAGTCTCCTGATGGGTCAGGAAAAATTACACCATTCATATTATAATCCAGGTGGATAATCTAAGATTTAAACAAAAATAATAATAAGTACTTAAATTAAATAAATAAAAATAATGCAGTGTAGTAGCAAGAATTATCATTTTATTAAGTAGCTTTTCAAAAAAAACCCTTTATTGAAGTTATTAGGAAACTACTCCTATATTATAGCAATCAAAGAAATATCAGAAAATACTGATTTAAAAAAAATACAGTGATCTAAGAATAGAAATTTAAATTATAATTCATTTGCTTGTTTTTTTGCAATATGACAAAATATTTATCCTATGCAACAAAAAAATACAAATTTTAGAGAGAAGATGAAGAATATTTTGAAACATCTTATTATAATACAGATGAGAGAACTTACCTCTTTTTCTAGTCATTACTGCAAATAAAGAATTGTATTTTGAATTTTTATGTAATAATAGCTACTATGTTCTAGGCACAGTGCTAAGTGCTCTTTATATTATCCCATTTAATCATCATCATAACCCTATGAGGTAGGCCTTAATATTTTTATCTGCATTTTACATATGATAAAACCGAGTCACATAGAAGTTGAGAGGCTTGACCACATGAAATTTTTAAAAATCACATAGAAAGGAGCGGCAAAGCTAAAATCAGAACCCAGGAAGTCCAGCTTCCAAGCCCAGTTCCTTACCTGGACACTATACAACTTCTCGATTCACGTTAAAATATTAACATTTAGCCCTGGCCGGTTTGGCTCAACGGTTAGAGCATCGGCCTGCGGTCCAGAGAGACCCGGGTTCAGTTCCTGCTAAGGGCATGTACCTCGGTTGCAATTTGTCCCCGGCCCTGGTTGGTCGTGCGGGTGGCAGCCACTCGATGTGTCCCTTCACATCGATGTTTCCCTCTCTCTCTCTTCTTCTCTCTCCCTCCCAATCTATCTGTACAAAAAAATGGAAAAATGTCCTCGGGTGAGGATAAAAAAATAAATAAATAAAAATAATAAAATATTAACATTTAATGAAAACGTTGAGTTTATTCTAAAAATGAAAGGTTGGATTGACAGAGGAAGCTCAATCAATGTAATTCAACATAAAACAGATTGAAGGTGAAAACAATGTCAATCTAATATGTAGAAAAAGTATTTAATAAAATTCAATATTTGCTTATAATGAGGAAAGTCTCCTCACTAAGATAAGAGATCTTCCTTAATCTGGTGAATCAGATGTACAAAGACCAACACCAAAAAATCATGCTTAAATGTGAAATGTTGAAAGCTTTTTCTTTGCCTATATTTCTATTCAACATTGTACTAGAGGTCCTGATCTGTGCATTAAGGTAAGAAAAATAAATAAATGGCATAAGGACTGCAAAAGGAAAAAACAAACCATCATTATTTGTAGACAACATGATTATACACAAGAAGGTCCCTAGATAAAACCATGAAAAATACTTGATTTAATAAAAGAATAGAATGTAGCAAGAATACTGGGAAAAGCCCTGGCCGGTTTGGCTCAGCGGTTGGAGCGTCGGCCTGCGGTCCTGAGAGACCCGGGTTTGGTTCCCACTAAGGGTGTGTACCTCAGTTGCAGTTTGTCCCCGGCCCTGGTCGGTTGTGCAGGTGGCAGCCACTCGATGTGTCCCTTTCACGTCGATGTTTCTCTCTCTCTCTCTCTGTTCCTCTCTCTCCCTCCCACTCTACCTGAACAAAAAATGGAAAAATGTCCTCTGGTGAGGATAAAAAAAAAAAAAAAAAAGAATACTGGGAAAAAAAATTACCAATGTACCAAAATTAGTTACATCTCTCTACATTAACAACACATATTTAGAAATAAGACTTTAAACATAGATGCTATTTATAACGGCATCAAAAGTATCAAAAACTTTGGAATAAATGAAACAAAAATGTGCAAGTCTCTCTGCTGAAACTAAAACAATTACTAAGGGAAAATTAATATGAAGATATATTATGTTCATGATTTTTTTAAAATGTCAATTTCATCCAAATTAAAAACTTCAACTGCATCAAAATCTCAACACCTTTGCATACACACTGTATGTGTGTAACTTGGTAAGTTAATGATGCAACAATGATAAATTATATCATTGCAAAGACTTTGACTAGAAAAGGCTCTCTTGAAAAAGAAAATAAAGTGATTGGATTGTTACTACAAGATATCAAGACCTATTATAAAGCAAAACCATTCACACAATGTGTCAACAGTACAAAGATAGACATATGGGCTAGTACATGATTGGTTGATTGTAAAACAAAGCACACACTGCGATTCATCTGGGGGAAGAATGGTCTCTATATAAAAGAAAAATTTGACAAACTAGACATCATCAGAATTAAGAACTTCTGTTCATCGAACAAAAGCATCACTAAGACAGTAAAAATGTTGGTAACAAATAATTGCAAAATGTCAGATATTCAGCATGTATAAGGAATTCCTACAGAGTATAAGGCAAAAGTAGAAAACTTGGCAGAAAAAATGGTGAAAAGATTTAAATCAGCAATTTATTTTTTTAATCCCAAAATACATTGCCCTGGCTGATTTGGCTTAGTAATTTGAGTGTTGGCCCAATGCAACGAAGGGTTTTGAGTTCAATGCCTGGTCAAGGGCATGCACCTGGGTTGCAGGTTCAATCACTAGCCCCAGTCAGGATGACTGTGGGAGAAGTCTCTCATATCAATGTTTCTCTCTCTATCTGTTCCCCTCCCTCCCTCCTTTCCACGCTCTCTAAAAATCAATGGGAAAAAAATGCCCTCAGGTGAGGATTAACAAAAACACATCAATAATCAGGGAAATGCAAATAGATTCTGTGATGATAAATTATAACATATCCACTAGAATGGCTAAAATTAAAAGACTGAGAATACCAAATATTGGTGAAGATTTGGAGCAACTGAAACTCTGAAACACTGTTGCTGCAAAAGTAAACTGATGTTACCACTTTGAAAAAAAGAAATATATTTGACAGTAGCTATGAAGATTAAACTCTAGGTCCCATTATTAAACTTCTAGATATATACCAAACAGACTAAATGCCTACATTTATTAGGAAACATGTATAAGAATTTTTTACAGGGTTATTAATAACAGTCAAAACCTGGAAAAGATTCTTGTCCACCAATACGAAAATCTCTAGTATATCCACACATTAAAATACTACATAACACTTAATTACTATAGCTACACACAAAGTATGAATGACATCTAAAAACAATGTTGAGTGAAAAAAAAACAGATTTTCAGACTGGCAAATCTCAGAGTACGGGGGTGGAGGGGATGGATGAGATGAACCAAAGAACTTATATGCATGTATGCATATCCAATGGATATAGACAACAATGCTGGGGGTGGGGGTTGGGGGGGGGGAGGGCAGGATGTGGAGGAGGGGGTCTAGGGGTAAAAAATGAGAAACATCTGTAGCAAAAATAAATTAATAAAAATTAAAAGAAAAACACAGATTTTCTAAAATACACTTTGTATAATGTCATTTAAAGTTGAAAACAGGAAAAAAATAATTACCTTTAGGAACACATACTTAGGTGATAACAAAAAAAAAAAAAACAAGAAATTATAAAACAGCTCTAGAAAGAAAGTGTTTGGAAGTGATTCTGAGGTTGTGGCAGCATTCTGTTTCTTGATCTAGTTCATAAACCCTTTGATTTACTTTATAAATTATTGGTCAACTCCATATTTATGTCTTACAAGTTTTTCATATTTGAGGTATCAAAAAGAGGTACCTGGCCAGTTTGGCTCAGGAGTTAGAGCATCAGCTCGTGGACCAGAGTCCCAGGTTCGGTTCCCTCTAAGGGCATGTACCTGGGTTGCAGTTTGTCCCTGGCCCTGGTTGAGGTCATGTGGGTGGCGACCAGTCGATGTGTCTCTCTCACACTGGTGTTTCTCTCTCTCTATCCCCCTCTCTCCCTCCTGCTCTATCTGAAGATAAATGCAAAAATGTCCTCAGGTGAGGATTTAAAAAAAAGAGATTTAACAACAAACTTTAATAAACTAGCAGAATACTTCATGAGAAGTGAACAGAAAGAAATTTTGTATATAGAAATAAGACTAGAAGAAAATATTTCAAAATGAAAATACATTTGAGATGTGAAAATTTGGAAGACTTTCTCATTCTTATTCAAGTAACATTTTCAAATTTAGCTTTAATTGTTTAGAACAAAAGCTCTTAATCTGAAAGTGTTGATTATAAAGAGTCATGAAGTCTCAAATTCTTTTTTAAAGTTCAATAGCAAACCGATCAATCATTCTCTCACCTGGGCCAGTCCAGCAGTGAAGGCAAAAGGACTAAAAATACTCAAAATCCACTCCAAAGCTGAGGGAAGTTGTCTATAAAATGCAGAGAGTCCCACACCCCCCCAAACGAGAGTGAGGAGAAGCACAACCAAATTGGTGAGGGCAATTTTCTTGAATAACACGCTCATCAGGAATGCTAAAGCTATCTGAAAGACAGAGAGGACGGGTAGATGTTATCAATTCAGTTCACTGAGAAACAGTAGCAGCACAATTAAATAAGGATCATAACGTCTTCATGAGTGAGTCAGTGATGGAAATATTAAGGTATCATTATGCTCACTCCTTCTCTCAACCCTTTATAAACAGGATCTCTATTTGTCCTATTCAACTGTTGGGCTTCTTTGCTGGGAGAACTGCTGAGGAAAGGGTGGAAATGCAGACTTGGAAAGAATGAAAGAAACTAAAGTGTCTACATACCTTCTGCAGAAAACAGGCTGAAAGGTGGGAGAAAATAGAGGCTTTTGTTCAGAGAAGGGAGAGGAACGACACAAGAAGTCAGGGCAAGGTGGGATACCACAGGAGAAGAGTTGCGTAAAGCTACCATGTGATGGGGAAATTTGGAGGAAAAATATTGGGTTCACTGCTCATATGCATCCTTGTTAATCATCTACAAAAGTCTTAGATAATTTAGAGTCAACATAATTGTTTTCTTTTTGATGCATCATTTCATTAATTCAGATCTTTATTTAAAGTGAGGTCCAGTCCGGCCGGTGTGGGGCTCAAAGGACTGACTGCTGTCCCATGGACTGAGAGGTCCTGGTTCCATTTCCAGTCAGGGCACAGGCCCGGGTTTTGGGCTCGCTCCCCAATAGGGGGCGTGCAGGAGGCAGCGGATCAATGTTTCTCTTTCACATCAATGTTTCTATCTCTCTCTCTCCCTTCCTCTCTCTTTAAAAAATCAATAAAAACAGTCTGGCTGGTGTGACTCAGTGGTTGAGCGTCAACCCATGAACCAAGAGGTTGCAGGTTCGATTCCTGGTCAGGACACATGCCCAGGTTGTGGGCCCGATCCCCAGTGGGGGGTATGCCGGAGGCGGCCAATTGATGTTCTCTCTCATCAATGTTTCTATCTCTCTCTCCTTCTCACTTCCCCCCTCTCTCTAAAATCAATAAAGGGAAAAAAATTTAAATCAATAAAAAAATATTTTTAAAAAGTGAGGTCCAACTTTATTTAGGTTACATCATTTTCTCACACTCATAGAGATTTTCTCAAACACACACACAAAGTGGACATTAAAGAAACAACTGTAGGAGCCTGCTAAGGCTATTTTTGCTACATATAGCTAAGACCTAAAGCCAGAGAAGGGGGTTGTCATTGTGTGAACTTACCAAGGATAAGCCATATAAGAAAAAGAGTGTAAATATGACCATGAAGCCTGTCATGACTATAATCTGGGTAGTCGTTATGATAATTCCAATAAATATGGAAATAATGAAGATGAAGCCAGCATAGATTAAACTCCAGGAAAACCTAAAGACAAAAAGTTATTGCAATTATTTTAATTGTATTACAAAATACTGAAAACACGAAATTTCTAAAGAATGATGTAATGATTGTCCCTGCGCTTGTCATCTAGATGAATAACTAAAATATTACTAATATTTCATTGGCATTGCTGTGCCTACTGGCTGTTAGCTCTGTATTCACATACTTATAAAAAGTATGAACACTGCATAAACAGGATCATCTTGTAGAAATTCTTCTACAACTTGCCTTTTATCAATCAACACATGCAATAGTATACACTGCTATGTAACATTTCATTGTATGAATATATCCCAAAGTTCTCTTGCCCACAAATATTTTGGTTGTTTCTTTTTCTTTTTTCCCCCTAGTGCAATGTTTCTAAGAGCATTCTTATACCTGTGCTTTTGGGGGGAAATGCACAAACATTTCTCTTGAGTAAAATTGCTGAATTAAAGGGGATAAGTATTTTGCATCTTCAGCTTTATTATAGATCACCAAGGTGTTCTAGCTATAGAACTGGAAGGAAACTTGGCAGTTGCCAACCAGCTGCGTAATCATGGCAGCATTGGGGGCAGATGATAATTCGACTGTTCTTGAGAACTCAGCCAGCAGCACCTCCACTCTACCTGATAGTAGAAAACTGAAATTCCTTTACTCCACTAAGCCCATTCCATTTTTGCCATTCCTAGTCATAGTTTCTTTATTTAAACTGATATAAATTAGGGTATGCCTTAAGAGGTCACACTGTTTTGCTTTTGATATGCTTAATGGTCACATTTTATGAGGCAGTTATTAAGAACTAGTATTCAACCTTAGATCTAACAAGCCTAGAGGGTGTTTTGGTCAACCTTCTCATTTTGCAGATGAGTGAATGCAGTCTCTATTCTTAGTTAAGGGCCTATTCAAGGTAATCAGTGAAACAGTTTAGCAATGCAAAGATGAAGCTTCTGGCCTTTGCTCGGTCCAGAGCTCTTTCCTCTACATGAAATTGCCTAAGTAAGAATTCAACAGCTGAAAACAATGGCAAAAGTATTAAAACTGGAAACTTGTATCAATATGTCCCAATAGACATGTTTACTGCTTATTTGATTTTTTTTTTTTTTTGAGAATTTCAAGGTTTATTTATTTAGTTAAATTTATTGGGGTGACACCGGTTAATGAAATTTATAGGTGTGCAATTATTCAGGTGTGCAATTCTATAATACATCATTTGTATATTGTATTGTGTGTTCACTACCCAAAGTCAAGTCTCCTTCCATCACCATTTATCCCCCCTTTACTTGGCTTAATCCCTTCGCCTTTCTCACTCAGTTCCGCAACCTCCCTCCCCTCTGACAGCTGTCAGTCTATTCTCTGTATCCATGAGTCTGTTTCTATTTCTTTTTTAATCCTCACCCGAGGACATTTTTTGATATTTTGTTCAGATAGAGTGGGAGGGAGAGAGAGAGAGAGAAACACCAACATGAAAGGGACACATCGAGTGGTTGCCACCCTCATGACCCAACCAGGGCCGGGGACAAACTGCAACCGAGGTACATGCCCTTAGCAGAACCGAACCTGGGTCTCTCCAGACCACAGGCCAACGCTCTAACTGCTGAGCCAAACCGGCCAGGGCTCTATTTCTTTTTTGTTAGTTTATCTGATTCATTAGATTCCACATATGAGTGAAATCACATGGCACTTGTCTTTCTCTGACTGGTTTATTTCACTTAGCATAATGCTCCAGGTCCATCCATGCTCTCACAAAAGGTAAGATTTCCTTCTTTTTTACAGCTGAGTAGTATTCCATTGTGTAAATGTACCACAGCTTTTTTATCCACTCATCTACTCTTGGGCTGCTTCCAAATCTTGGCTAATGTAAATAACGCTGCAATGAACATAGGAATGCGTATATTCTTTCAAATCAGTGTTTCAGATTTCTTCAGATATATTCCTCAAAGTGGAATCGCTGGTCATAAGGCAGTTCCATTTTTAATTTTAAAGGTAATTCCATACTGCTTTCCACAGTGGCTACACCAGTCTGCATTTCTACCAACAATGTACGAGGGTTCCCTTTCCTTCACATCCTCACCAGGACTTGTTGTTTGTTGATTTATTGATGATAGCCATTTTGACAGGCGTGAGGTAATATCTCATTGTGGTTTTAATTTGCATCTCTCTGATGATTAGTGACATTGAGCATCTTTTCGTACGTCTATTGGCCATCGGTATGCCCTTTTGTTTTAATCCCCACCCGCAGGCATTTTTCCATTTTTTTTGTTCAGATAGGGTGGTAGAGAGAGAGAGAGAGAGAGAGAGAGAGAGAGAGAGAGAGAGAGAGAGAGAGAGAGAGAGATCGACGTGAAAGGGACACATCGAGTGGTTGCCACCCGCACAACCCAACCAGGACCGGGGACAAACTGCAACCGAGGTACGTGCCTTTAGCGGGAACTGAACCCGGGTCTCTCTGGACCGCAGGCCGATGTTCTAACTGCTGAGCCAAACCAGCCAGGGCTGTATGTCCTTTTTGGAGAAATGTCTATTCAGGTCCTTTGCCAATTTTTAAATTAGATTGTTTGTTTTTGGTGTTGAGTTGCCTAAGTTCTTTATAAGTTTTGAATATTAACCCTTTATCAGATGTATCATTGACAAATGTGTTCTCCCATTCAGTAGGCTGTCTTTTCATTTTTTTGACGGTTTCCTTAGCTGTGCAAAAACTTTTTAGTTTGATATAGTCCCATCTGTTTATTTTTTCTTTTGTTTCCCTTGGCAATGAGATATGTCAGAAAAAAAAATACTGCTATGAGACTTTTTTTAAAATTTCATGTCTTTATAATGACTCAGCCTGTGTTAGAAATATCAGCATTTTTGAAAAAACATAACATGTTCTGCAGAATCCACTTCCCGAGAACATAGGGAACTACAATAGGTAGGACTTGAAAAACCACAGGGTAAGGGAATTCCAAGTACGGGAAGCTCAAACAGTATCTAGAAAAAGGAACTGATTGCAGAGTTGGGGGTAGGGATGGGAAAGATGTTACTGCACTCAAGAAAACCTTCATTATAAAAACAAAACAATTTAGACATCACACTTAAATAAACACTGATTATATTTAGCATTCATTACGTGAGCAAAAAAAAAAAAAAAAAAATGTTGTCATGAAGTTTATTTGCAATAGCTAAGTACCCTGTACTTAGTAAAAAGTTTCAGAATCTTTTTCCTTCTTTATTTTAGAATTTATATTTTATGTATATATTCATTTTACTGTTTTTGGTTACATGCATTCTAAGAAGCATTTATCCTGAAAATGAATCCACCTCTAAATATCCAATGTCTTTCTGATTTTAATGTAGAGTTGACTTGGTCCTACCTATTTCAGTTGACCGCAGAGATGCTGCCCCCCAAGACATGCCCTAAGCTGAAAGGGGGTCTCTTTTTTTCTTTTTTTTTTTATCCTCACCCGAGGACATTTTTGCATTTATCCTCAGATAGAGTGAGAGGGAGCAAGGGTGGAAAAGAGAGAGAGAAACGTTGATGTGAGAGAGATACATCAACTGGTTGCCACCCACTTGTTGCCAACCAGGGCCGGGGACAAACCGCAACCGAGGTACATGCCCTTAGCGGGAACCGAACCCAGGACTCTCTGGTCCATAGGCCAACGCTCTGACCGCTGAGCCAAACCAGCCAGGGTGAAATAGGGTCTTTTTTACACAGATCCCATCTCTCTTCCCTCTTCATGGACACCACACTCTTTTGTACTTTCCAAAATTCCACTACATAAACATCCTTATTTATTATTGAAAGACACCACTTCCCCTTTTTCTGTTTCACATGTCATATATATATCAGAATCAAAACTCTGTTAAGGAAACATAATTCAGAGAGAATTTAAAATTTCCTAGGCCACACTTGTATTTCAGAGAACATGTAGCTTGTAAAAAGATTGTTCGATACATAGTTCTACTCCAGAGAGTTCCACATTCCTAAATAGGATTTTCAGGATATGAGGATTATGCCGAGAAACATCTCCCAGGTTTCAACATTGAAGTTTCTTTGGCGGTAAAATTAATTGATTTTACCCCTTTTCCTTGACAGTGAGGACTTCGTGACTGATTGCACTGCAAAATTCTCTGCTTTGGCCTCCGCAGTTAAAGCTTGTAGGATTTGCAGTTTCCTCTATCAATCTTCCCTAGTTATTATTTTGCTAGGTCTTTGCTTCTACTCCTCAATTATTTGTTTCTATTTTATTATTACTATTAATTATTTTTAATCCTCACTGAGGGTACTTATATTGACTTGAGAGAGAGAAAGAGATGGAGAAAGACATCGATGTGAGGGAAGTATCAGTCTGCTGCCTCGCACACACATCCCGGTAGTCACCTCACCATCCTAGGTAGGTGCCCCAACTGGGAATCGAATGCACAGCCTTTCCGTGTGTGAGACGATGGTCCAACCAGCTAAGCCACCTGGCAAAGGCTATTTCTATTTTAGTACAAACACACACACATAGATACATTCACACATATGTATTTCAAATTACATAATCACTTTAAACTATTTGTGGAATCGGGCACGATATGAATGTATCAATGTATACAGAAAATTCTCTTGTTAAGTCCTTCCTATACACCAGTCTATGTGCTGGATACACTGGGAGCATTACATAAGTTCTCTCTTTTAACTCCAACATGAGATATTTAATTGCTCAAAAAAATATATCCCTGGTGACCCAACCTCTAAACACACTACACATTACAGGATTGTACTTTCTTCAACACAAGAAGCTCTCAAAAAATCAAATGGTAACTGCTAGCCAGAGAGTTGAAATAAGGGCCCCTGGGTTGCCATCGAAGCCCTGGCACTGGTCATCCATTTAACGCTGGGGAACTTAACTCTCCTTGATGTTAACAGTAGTTCTAGAACAGAGTTAGCTTTCTTTCTTTTTGCGTTTATCTTCAGATAGAGTGGGAGGGAGAGAGGGAGGAACAGAGAGAGAGAAACATCAATGTGAAGGAGACACATTGAGTGGTTGCCACTCACACGACCCCACCAGGGCCGGGGACAAACTGCAACTGAGGTACATGCCCTTAGTGGGAACCAAACCCGGGCCTCTCTGGTCCGCGGGCTGACGCTCTAACTGCTGAGCCAAACCGGCCAGGGCCACCGTTAGCTTAATATGCTCTGGCACAGGGAAAGCACTCAGTAAGTTATGATAACTAGTTTGCATGGCAAAATTGAACAAAGACTAAATCAAAAAGTCAGACAGAAAACAAAGTAGCCAGTGTAATCAGTTTAAATCATGATGTTCTGAAACACTTAATACTTTTTTGCTGTTTCTTCATTTCTTTTAAACTCATTTGTACCATTGAATCGGTCACTTACCAGAAAGCTGAATCTTGTAGACCCATCACTTTCATCAGATCCTTACTCTTTTTTCTCTCTTTTGTGACATTGAATGATGCAAAATATATAAATGAGGAGAAGTAAAGCAAGCAGTAGAAAATAAACATCTCATTTTGGAGGGTATCTTTAGCAATAAACGGTAATGTCTTCATATTTACAGCAGTAACTGACATCAACTCTTCCATCACCGAGTGATCTGTCATGGTCTAAGAAAATGTTTAAAACAACAAAATCATTATTTGAAATCGGCAAACTGGTGAGATCAATAAGCTATGGGGATTGTACCAATGTCAATTTCCTGGTTTTAACATTGTCCGATGGTGCCCTGGCTGGTTTGGCTCAGCGATTACCAGGTCGGCCCACAGGCCAGAGAGTCCCAGGTTCGATTCTGGTCAAGAGCGTGTACCTTGGTTGTGGTTCGCTCCCCCACTGTGATTGTGTGGGAGGCAACCAGTCAATGTGTCTCTCCCATGTCAATTTTTTCCCCTATTTCTCTCTCCCTCCCACTCTATCTGAAAACCCTCCAGTGATGATTTATATATATATAAAGAGAGAGAGATTGTCCAATGGTAATGTAAGATATTACCATTAGGAGAAACTAAGTGAAGGGCACACAGACCTCCCTGGACATTGTTTTTGAATTTCCACTCATTCCCTAACTACTGGAAATTTTAAAGTTAAGGGAAAAAAAGCAACGTGTTCCTTTGCCTAAACCCCATTTCACCATTTGTATACCTGCGTCATCATATAACCATGTGAAAACCTGCGTATATATCACCTGTCATCAAAATCTTGATGCTTCTGGCATTAGTTTACATTATTTATTAGAACGTTTCTTACTTCTATAATAGCAGCATTAATTGCAGTTTGTAAAGTCACAAATCCTGTATACCAGTATTTGGCCAGTGAACATGTTGAGTCATTTCCTTTACCCCAGCAATGAGCTGTAAAGTACAAAGAAGAGCAGAAATCAACATAATGGGATGAAGGCATTTGGAGAATAAGAAATGGGAATCCAAGAGAAAACAATCTAGAGGGGCTCCACCAGTAAGAACCTTTAACCACACAGAGAAAAAAGAAGCAAATGAAAGTTCTCAGTGAGGCAAGTTTATTCATGGAGATCATAGCATGCATAGGGAGGCTTAGAAGGAGAACAAGAAAAAAGCTCCAACCACACTGGACTCCTGACTGCGCCTGGAAATGCCAAACGCCCTCCTGTGCCAGAACGCTGGTGCTCAAATGCTTCCCCTCCAGAGGAGTTCATGGCTCACGCCTTGCCTCCATCTCTTTTCACAGGTAAACTCATTATAGAGGTCTTTCCTGGCCACCATACATGAAAATATCTAAAATAGCCCTTTCGGTCTCTATCTTCTGTCCCTGCTTTATTTTACTTTGTCGCTTTATCACCACCTGGCCAGAATGATTCATGCTAGCAGGCTCTGTGTTCTGTTCACTTCAATCTTCGAGGCCAAGAAAAATGTGGAACACACAGCAGACCCTCCGTGAAGGACTGGAAAAAAACAGGTCTACTAGTCCCTTCAATTCTGCTTCCTAAGTGCTCTTCGATCTCTTTACCTCCCTCTCAGCTGCCTCCACTCTGGTCTAAGCCACCAGCAGCTCACTGGTATGTTTGGTTTCATTCTCCCTGACTCCTCTGCAATCCATTCTCCAGGCTGTATCCAGACTGCTACCTGAGGCTTGGAAATCTAATCACACCTCTGCCATGATTAAAGTACCTGAATGGCTCTCCATTGCCCTAGGATTAAAGGACACCTCTGGACCTGGCCCTTGAATAATTTCAGCCTCATTCTCCCATCACATTGCTTCTTGTGTTCCCTATTCACTTATACGGTTCTTCTTCCATATACATGTAGCAGATGTCCCGTTTCACCGCAGGGCCTTCCCACCTGCCCTTTTTCCATCTGAAACACCATGCCCCTAGCACCTCACGTGTGCTCTTCCTTCTGACTTCCCCAGAATATTAGGAGCCCCTGGTCTAAGTCCCTTCAAGGACTTTCCCTTGCACTTATCATGAATAGATCTGCTCAGTCGATGTCTGTACTGCTAACTGGGACCTATCACTCTTGATCACCCTCTGCATCCTTCGCTGCATCCACCTGTGAGCTCACTATACATATACTTTTGTTGGATGGCTCTATGGTCGTCTGTGCATCATCCTCTAGTGGGAAAATACGATTGACCTTGGAAGAAGTTTAGCAATAAAAAGGTGCCTTTGAATGTTCTCATATGCCATTGAAAGCATCTCGGTTGACCGCCCCAACCTGTTCCTTATGTTAAAAACATAAAAAAGTGCTATAATGCTATTTTATATAGGAAATCACCTGAGAGATGTTGTTCCTTCACAAATGGAATGCCATGTCCCTGAAAAAATTTTAACTTATAAGATAAAGGGTCACTAAAGACAATTCCCACTGCGTTTAGGAAATGGCTTAGAAGTAGCTCGTCCACAGATTTTTGATCTGGCGCCCCAATGACTTTTTTCCCTGTGGATTACAAAGTAAAAATAGACATAGAAGATGGTTAGACTTGCACCAAAACAGAAGACATCCAACTGTCTCATCATACATTTTTTTCATTAGACTTAAGATAAAATGTTTCCCCGTTTAAATGAAATGTATCCCAAAAGGCAAGGGAGGAATTTTTATTTTAATGTTTTAGGTTCTAGAATCAGGGGACATACATGCGAATTAAGTATTTTCCTTTAATAATGACAAGTCTCAGGGCAAGTTTTAGGTACATGAGAGATTACGCCAGGATAAATATGCATAAAAAGGGATCATTGGTACGCATAAGAAATCAGTTACTGAAGTAAAGACATCTCCTATGATCTTTTGCCTTATGCAGGAACCAAGAGCACAGAGTGACTCTGTATCTAGCAGCCAGCAATGTCAGCAGTTAAAAACTGAGGGTTAAAAAGCAGGTAGCCAGACTGCACCCAGCTCACCCATGAGTGAAACACACATTTTGACTATCTCAGTTACATAGTGACCACATTTACAATTAAGGCCTTTAAAAGGTGCTTACAAATTGCACCAAGCACGGATTATCTTTAGTTTATCCACCCTCATCATAGTTTTGAAATTACTGTTTAATAACCATGACCTAAATTCTTTTATTTAGGTGTTTTTTTTTCCTTGCGTTATAAATCTTAATCATTGTATTCCCACGTTAAAAACACCCCCATCTGCAAATGGCATGTTCTTCCTAGATACTGTTATGCAAATCTGTAATTAGAAATCTATTGTTTTAGGTAAATTCCAATAGAAATGTAGGCCTCCCTAAATTGGACCCCTAATCAAGCTGAAAAAGGGTTTAATAGGCTAATTAATTATTGTTAGAGAAAGAAAAAACTAACCAAATTTGTATGCTATTTTAATACCTAAATAATTAGCATAATGGGTCATTGTAACTTCAAATTAAACATACTCACTCTAACCAAAAATATAAAGCAGTGTCAGTAATTCTTTTGTCATTAGCTCACTTACCTTTCATAAAGGGAGCAAGTGCCGTTTTATTCATTATCTGGTTGGTTATATTAGAGATCGGTGTATACACAACATCCATAAAAGAGTTATTGTATTTATCTACCCTTCCCAGGTCCTGAGGAGGCATTTCAGAAAACTGGCTATTTTCTTTTGAATATGAAATAAAGCCCATATACAGTCCTAGAAGTATTGGAAACCCCCATTCCTAAACACAGAGGGGGGAAAAAAAAATTTAGATCATAATCCCTTAAACAGCTCAACTGATACCAAAGAACTAAAGACAAATTCCAATCTTGCCATAGTCTTGGCTTCTCTTTGCTCTCCTTCAGAACAAAAGGAACCCAATGAAAGACACATAGTGAGATAATTGCCACAAATATCATTCTCCATGGTAGGACTACACTTTTTCATTCAATCAGGAACCAATGTAGAAGCCATCCTATAAACTAACAGGATGACCACCTCTGTATATGTGGGCATCTGATTCTAAACTCCATGAGACACAGATTATCCCAGTTAAGTTCATGGTAAAAATAGCAATGTTCTTGTCAGTTGTCATATCCTAGTGTGGGAAATCAAAGAAAATGAGTAGGAACTGAGTGGTAGAGACTGTCTTGTGTTTCACCAACATCAGTAATGTCTTCCTGCTTGGCACAGTGCTACACTATATTCCCAGCCTCTGGAACTTAAGTGGGACCAAGTGATTGAGTTCTGGCCAACGGAATATGGTCAGAAATGATAGAGTGCACTTCCAGGCCTGGCTCATGGAACACAACCTTCTGTATTTTCTCTGTCCAGGTCTCTCTACTGATCTTCTGACTGGATGCATAGAGCCAGGGAAGGTCTCCAAGGCCCAAGGAGAGAGCTGAATTCCTAGGTGAAGAAGTCTGGGATCCTGAAGACTATGTGCAGAAGATTCCTTCAGCTACCCAACCCATTTCACTGTTACTGCCAACTTTATTTAGGCTGTAACAAGAGTGAAAATTAAAACTCTTCTCTGAAGCCATTGCGATTTGGGCCTATTACCTGTAAATCAGGAATCAGTGGGCTGTAGGTAGCCCACTACCTGATTCAAACTGACAATCAGTGGTGTTACTTGGTCATAATTCTTGGAAATAATTTCTGTGTAGATCATTTGTGGCCTTGAAAATAAATCCTTAAAATTAAAATTCTTTGATTTTTGCTAGGCACTGCTATTATTCTTTCTTTACTCTACATGTAGTACATGCAAATTAAAGCAGCTTTAATAGTCGTTACAATTTATGATGTAATTAAATGTTCACTTAACCTCATTTTTAAAAAATGAGTCAATACATTCAGTCTTTGCAATTTTACATTATTTTTCAGGACTGCTGTGAGTCTCTCAATTCAACAAGTACTAGAGACAACCTGAAAATCAATAAATCCAGTCTGTTCTTTAAAATGTAAAGAGAATCGTTAGGCAATGAAATACAATAATGCTAATTGTGGAAAGAGGAAAATGTTCAAACATACCAATAAGCTCTCTCTTTTCATCCTCCATTTCTTAAGGAAATTTTTGCACAGAAGTGCTCGAGTTTGTTGATACACATTTTTCTGTTTCCTGTACATTTAGCCTGTTCTTTAAACGAACAAGGAGAGAGTAAACACGGTGGAGCATAAACTAGAAGAAAATGCATAATAAGAACCTTGATCATATTTGGGTGCAACATATTTCCTACCTTTAAGAACTAAAAAAAAAAAAAAAAAGGATTTAAAAATATTTCAATAACGCATGACAGTAAAAGTTTACATCACATACACTCACTGTAAGCTGTTTGGTGTGTAATAATGGGGAGATGATGTGACTATCATCATAATTTTACAACAACATAGTATTACAATAGAAAGGATATTAGATTTCAGATCCTGTCGGATACTTCACATTTTTTACCTTTCATAGTAGAAATTCAATTTAACTAGCGTATCTGAATTGTATCTAGCTGATTAATAATTTGTTATTCTTTGCATTTAAATAGAAATCCCAGAATTTACATCAAATTAACATCAAACTTCTGATTACTTGAATTCACCTGAATAATTAGTTATGTAACCCCAATGAAATATTTTCTTGTGGTATTTACCTTCCAGATTGACTTGAAAAACTTTTACTAAAAGAGTTAGGCTATAGGATAATAATCCATATTCAAACAACTTGAAACTTGATTTTGATACACAGGAAGAATAAAACAATGTATCAGTATTTTCTGAATTCAGAAGTCCCTGAATAACTACAAAGTTTAAAAAAAGAAAAACATCACACGGGAAAGTAATTTTTATTGCCCACGTGTTTGCAAGTAAACCAACAGAGATTTTTTTTTCCATTTTTGAAACCTCAAAATTAAATTCTTTTAGATTTGCATAACAAAATATTCATATAATTCTCCCTCCATTAGCATAGATGCGAATTTTCCTATATTCTACTCTTGTATCTATACAATAAATTTGGTAGGGAAAAACAGGAGGATGTTGTCATTAGGTCTTCAGTGTAAAAAAAAAAAAAACCATCTGAGAAATAGATTGATTTTAGCAGTGTCCACCCACCTATTTGGTATAACACAACAAAACGAAGCTTTACTTACTGTCAGAAAAATCAGAAGTAGTACTCTGGAAACACTCTCAAAGCACTGTTCTCTTTTTGTCTAAGGCAATGATTAAAGTTTCTCAATTGCCACTTCTTCATTTATTCCTTAAATGGGTGCCTACTCCCAACAGTTCTTAACCCAGGCTGAATTCTGAAAAGGGGTGTAGTCAGACCAAGCTGCACACGATGAACTTGTTTTGTTTTCTGTCTTTGCCTCCTTGAGCCAGTTATTCTGCAGGGAAATGACCGTTCTGTGGTTGGTTGAGAATAAAACAAACCCTGCGCTGTGCACTTGGCCTTTCAACTCCAGGATAAGGGGACAGTGGTAAACAAGGACAATGCAGCTAGCCCTTCAGATATGATGAATAAAGATGCGAGGAAAGAACAATAAGTGAGAAAAAACAATAACTAAGCAAAGTGGTTACATTTGTCTGAGGAATCTCTAGCTATTTTTTCACTCCTAATGCCTAAACACAACTGCCAATGAATGATACATTTGACTATTTTACATGAAATACACAGAATGTGCTGGAGCTGGGCTTTTTTTTTTTTTTTTTTTTTACCTAATAAAGCTGAGCAATCCATAGCCTGCCTTGGAGAAACACCTAAGTTGGACAAATAAAAAATAATAAATATACTCCTTTTTTTCCCCACTTTGTTCATTTTGGATGCAGAATTTCATAAGGCGACTGAACAAAATAAAAGTGGATTGCTAAGAACTGAAAAATGTATAAGAATCAAATGATTCAGGTCAATTTTTATGCATGACAACCTGGCAAAAAAACTGAAATTTATTTAACCGCTATTGAATAATTTATCTTTCCCTGTAAAGAGTTGCAAACTTTTCTTGACCCGCCAAAGTAAATGGCAAAACAGGAAACCAAAGTCCATGAATTGGGAAACCTCAAATATTTGACATGGCTCCTGATCCACAGATGTTAATAATCATAAAACTGAGAGATGTTCTGTAGAAAAGGAGAAAATTTTTAAACTTAAAATCATGATATCATGTATAAACATTTCTCTAATTGGTTATTGATTCTATCTTTTAAAATAGTCAACAGTGAACTATTATAACATGTCTTTTACATTTAAACATGGCAAACACAAAGGTAATAAAATTTTCTAAAGTTCTTGTCGATGGGGGAAGAGTAGAAGGTCATAAACACTGTTAAAATTTTTTATCAGTAATAGGTCAAGGGTGCAAACAAGAATTCTAAGCTTGTTTTAAATCACCTGAAATATATTTCAAGTTTTTATTCATTTTGTTGTTATTGTTTTAAACCCTATGTAAGCTCTATTTTAAAAGTCATTTTCCCACTCTTACAATTGCATTAAAATTTACAATTATGATGTCAATAATTATTTAGATTCAATATTTTACTAGGTTCACTTTTTATCATTGACTTTTTGTGTGTATTCATTGTGTTCCTCTTCTTGACTTATTTACTCTGATTTATTCTTATTTGGGGGGCCATTTTCCATCATTAAATCTGATATTTCCCCATAAATTTGCCTAATTTGTTAAAGAAGTGTTCAACCTCCAGCTAGAAACCCATTGAAATGGTGGGTAAAATATATCTAAAATAGATATTCAGCTATATAACCAAACTTTAAAAGAAAAGAAGAAAAAGATAAAGGGGAAAAAATAAGAACCAACAAAAGAAACAAAGAGAATGAAAAACACATCCGCAGGTGTTAAAAATGTTAACACCGGAACTGTGAGTAGCATGTCAGAATTCTAGCAGTCCAAAGAGGTGTCTGCATACTCTGTGGCCCAAACTTGGTGCTTGACAGTTGCTGAAGCTGGACTTCCTATCTCTGCATGAATCCAGAACTGCTCAGCATTAGAAACAGAAACTAGAAAAACCTCAGCTACTACCCCCATGAAAAGTAAAGATGTATTTTTTGCCAGTCTCTGGATTACAAAATATATATCCTGCGTAGAAAATGAAAAACCCTGCCTGGCTGGTGTGGCTCAGTGGTTGAGTGTACCAGGAAGTCACCGGTTCAATTCTAATTCAGGGCACACGCCCAGATTGTGGGCCAGATCCCCAGTGGGGGGCATGCAGGAGGCGGCCAATCGATGTTCTCTCTCATCTATGTTTCTATCTCTCTCTCCCTCTCCCTTCCTCTCTCTCTAAAATAAATAAAGAAAAAATTTAAAAAGAAAATGAAAAACCCAAGCCTATGTAGCACATGTCAGATACAAGACATAGGAGCAGGATCTGAATTTACTCTCCCTGCACAGCAATACATTTAAGAAAAACATCATAGCATCTAGTGCCAAACTTTGGTTCAAATTCTGGCTCTGCCATAGCTGTGTGACCTTGTACCAACTATTTAAATTTTCTTCTTCAGTTTTTCATTCATATTAATGGAGGTAATAACTGTATATATGTATGGTTGTTTAGAGTATTGAATTCATTAATATAGGAAAAGCTCATAGAACAATGCCTGGAGAATTGTAAAAACTCAAAAAACATTACTTGTTGTTGCTAATACTGCTCTTCCTTATATTATATATATATTTCCCCTAGCAGCTAAGCTCATAATCAAAAGTCAATAGTGAAATAGAATCAGCAGACCAAAATAATGAGACTATTATTACTAATCTCAAGAACTAAATAATAATAAATACTATTACAAAGACTATAAGATATATGAAGTATTAAAGAAGTAATATAAGTTAGTAAAAACAGGAGACAATGAAAAGAAAGACTAATAGAAAATAACCCATTCAAATTTGTAGGCATTTAAAAGGATTAATAAAAGTTAAGTTTAAAAACTTTATGTTTAAGTTTTAAGACGGATTAGACACAGCTGAACAGAAAATTAATAAGCCCAGAATTACATCTGAAGAAATCATATAAAATTTAGTGCAAAGAGAGAACAAAATGGAAAAATATTTGAGAGGTTCAAGGGCATGAAAGACAGAATAAGGGTGTCCAAAACATGTCTAATAGGCATTTTTAAATGAGGAAAATAAAGAGAATAAGTAAAAAGAATCTTCAAAGATAAAATGTATAAGAATTTTCCAGAACTGAAGACATGAGCCCTCAAGTTAGGAAAACAAACAAAAATCCAATAACTATTTTACAGCAGGCTTTCAAAACACGAAAGAGAGGAACAAAGAGGAAAGAGGAGACAGGAAAATATTACAAAACAACAAAATAGTGAAGACAGATTACCAACTAAGGATTGACAGTTAGCTGAAAGACATCATAAAACAATGCAATAATGTCCTCAAAGTGCTGAGAGAAAATTAACAATTAACCTCAAATTCTATACCCAGCTAAATGTAAATGAAAGAAAGATATCTTCAGAGAGAATGTACTTCTTACAAAGCCAGGCTGAAAGAATACTAAAGAATGCACTTCACATTAAAAATAAAAGATTTATTTGATTTACTTATTGATTTTTAGAAAGAGAGAACAAAAAGAAGAGGGAGAGAAACATTGATTTGTCATTCCACTTATTTATGCACTCACTCGTTGGTTGATTCTTATATGTGCCCTGACAGTGATCAAACCCGCAACCTTGGCATATTGGGACAATGCTCTAACCAACTAAACTACCTGGCCAGCATCCCAATTTGTAGTTCCTAATCCCTTTACCTTTTTCACTGAGACCCCAACTTCTGTCCCCTCTGGCAACCACCAGTCTATTCTCTGTATCTATGAATCTATTTCTAGACTGTTTAAGAACTCTTTCATCTTTATCTTATTCTTCCTAGTTTGCTGTTGTGAATGCTTTTTATTAACATGGTAATACATGTGCATAACATGGATAGTTTCGAACATTAACTTCACACACAATTATCAGGAATGCATGACCAAAATTATTTTACTAATAAAAGTGAGTAAAACTTTAAAATATAAAGGCACTGCTTTTGAAGTGGGATTTCTTTGTCCTGTGGTATTCACAGCCCCAGCTTTATTAATGTCGTCGATCTGCCGTCTAAAATTTTTTAAATGTACAGTTTAACTAACGACATATTAAAGTTTCCATTTCCCTATCTCCTTGCAAACTTTCTACTATAAGTATTATTACTATTTTGAAAATTGTATGTGAAATAATTGTTGGTTCACAAACTCACAAATCCCCTGGGAGAATCTGAAACAAGCCCAGTACTGAGGACAAGGAAAGACCAAAGAAAAGAGGCCGACCACTGCAGATTGGTTGGTGGTGGTTTTAAGAAACAAGGGAAGTTACTTACAAGACTGGTCTTGAGCGCCTGCCGACAGATCTCTATACCCATCAGCATCTTTACACAGAGGTCTCAACTGGGTGGTCATGACACCATCCAAATGGTCTCTCAAGACTGCATCCTTGAAAATGGCTCTCACTGTGGGAATGGTGAGCAGAATGTACATTCCAAAGACAGGGGACAGGGAACAACTGCCTGTCCAGCTCGGGGGTCAACCAGCAGTCACATCCTCCTCCAACAATAATATCTGATTTCTGCATTTATTGTTTAAGAGAATTTGCTTCTGCATCATGTTGAATTTTCCCTCCCCTAATATGACAACATTGTTTATTTGGGTCACTTTTATGACACAGATAAAGAATCACCTGTCAGCAGATGAAGAGATGCTTGGAAAATCGCCAGAGTGCAGCTTTTATCAGATTAACATTTTCCCTAAATTCCAATTTACCTTCACTCTTCTTCTCCTTATAAAAAGGGTTGGCTTGAGATAAAATATAAGACGGTCTTTTAGGGTACATAACCCGCTGTCTTCTCAGACCACCAGCCACCTGAATAAAGCACCCAGAAAGATTCAATCCTCGTCTCTACTCATCAGTTCTGGACGGAGGGCACGAACGCCGACTTTTCTGGTTTCATAATTGAAGCTCAATCCAACCTGGGGGCAGTTCATGCTCCCTTTCCCAACACACACTCCCACACTTTACAATGTAAAACTTCTTTGCAAGGTAAGATAATCTTCTAATTATGGACTCTTTACACATTTGTCTTTTCTAAATGACTAAACAGCTTTAGAATGGAAATTGGGTAGGGTTAATTTTCAGAAGACCCTCAGTGAAAGGTGCTAAATATTCCAAAGTCTGTTCCTATAAAGAACCCTCTTCTTCCTTGGGTCTTTCACCGCTTTGTCAAAACCTCTCAGGCTGCACTCTGATCAACATCTTCTCATAGCAGGAGACTCAGA